GGAGGTAATTTAAACGTGTATTTAAGAGAAGAACAGTTTAGTTTTCGTAAAAATTCAATACTTAATCATTTTGATTTTTCAAGTTTATCCAACAAACTTGTCATACAATCAACTTCCTCGTACAATCAACTTTTTCCTCATACAATCAATTTTGTGTCCCATTTTTTACTGATTTTATATTATGTAGAAACCTCAGGAGCGCTGATATATAAATATTTGATTTTGTATGACCTTGGAATATAATACACTTTGATAGACCAGGAGAATTATCTTACTAGCAGCCCTGTGCATGAATCCATGTGCCAGTAGGTCACTGCCACCCTCCAGGTAGCTCCCCAGGCCCCTCTGCTCATAGCTTGCTGCCCTGCCCCCTCCTGTAGCTCTCCACCTCCCACCTGTAGTTTGCTGCCCACCCTCCTGCAGATCTGTGATCTGGTAGTTAAACCTTAGGGCTTAATGGATAATTAGCATATTCCTCTCTTATTAAATAGGATTTCCCCACATATATAGTTCCTAAGGAAGTCATTCAACACAGTAATTATTCATATTTCATTTGTTGAAGGAATTGTTAGACATTGGACACTGTAAATCAATTTTTTAATAGAGTTATTTAAAAGGATGGAATCTTAAGAGTCATATTAGAATAAATATTCACAATTTCTCCTCTGTAACCTTTGGATTTTACCAAATGTAAATTTTACATTTAGAGAGAACATGGAAAATATCTCCAGCAAGATGACACCAACCTGAAAATTTAATTCTGTCAGTATTAATGAGGTCAAGTATTTCCTGCAGTATTTATCAAAATTGTTATTTCTAATTATTTAATATTAATGGTTGTAATTTTGTTGATGTGTGTGATTGCTTTATGGCCGTTGATGATAATTTCCATCTTTTCAGGTGATTTGTTGTTTCTTACTTACAAGGCATCTTTCTAAAGCATCTTTTAAAAATTCCACTTAAAATGCAAATGTAACATTTTTTTATGCAGCATTCAAAGGAGTAAAATTGTAATCAATTTTATAAGGTATCTTATACATAACTTTGATTTTAAAATTGTGCCAGACTAATGCCAGTATTGTCCTAAAAATATTTAATTTTGATGTAGTGTACTGTGTGGCTTTGATATGTGCATTTTATCACTGAGCCATCTTATGTATTAAAATATGTTGTGTTTTCTTATTTTTGTTATCTTCATTTTTAAAAAAGAATCACAAAACAATAAAGATTGAAAAAATAAAATACAAAGGAATAACAAACAGAAAGGCAGTAAGAAACTTTATTTTAGTAAAGTGCAGTTTGATGGGATTTTTGTCTTTAGGTGTTAGCTCAGTCATTTTTTATATTTTCTATTTATATCTCACATCTTATCCCAAAAATGATCTGAAGCTTTAAAGAAATACATCAAATAGTAGGGCAACATGAAGTAGATGAGGAAATTGGGATGATGGATAATGAAGACAGGAAACTAATAATATGCAGTTTTAGTTTAGATCAACACTTTAAAATGCATGTCTTAAGACCTATACCTTTGATAAAAGGTAGCTGTAAATGTTTTTTACTTTTAAGTAAGGCCTGAGTTTTCTACTTTTCTAAGAGAAGAGGGATCAAGAGCTGTTTCAAGACTCACAATGCTGATAAGAAAAACCAAGCAATATGTTTGGGAGAAGCCCAGCTTTTCTATTGGAGAGTGAGCCAATAGAAATCTGTCCCGTAGGGTTTTATAATGGCTGCCTGCCAGTGTTCGGCACTGCTTTATCGGAACAATGACAGATTCCCCTTAATGCAGGCTGATGCCGGCACACCCAAGTGCAATAAATATAAGCAACATTAAAAGCAGTAAAAGTAATACTGAACAAGTATGCAGCTCTCTGGTGGTTTGACTTGATCAAAGAATAAACTTTGAAGTGTGGGGAACTGACATTCTTTGAGTCACGGACCACTCTGAAAATCCGATAAAGCCATAGGACCTTTACTAGATGTTGTATATACACACTCTCATCATTTTGTGTGTAATTTCAGTGTACATGTGTGTGTATGCCTATAAACCCCAGGTTAAGAACCACATATTAAAGAATGAATGGACTGTATAGCTTTCAGGTATTTTTTACAAATATTATTTCATATGACTGAGTTTTATATAATAACTGGTTGCAAAGAATATGAAGTCATAGTCTAATAAATTCCTAGATTAAAAATATTTTTTCTTGCCAATGAAAGGTGGATTCTTAAGCTAAGAAAATCAACTGGTTGGAAGGGAGGGCTTACATTCTCTTATAAAAATGAGCAGACAGATATCCAAGATGATGCCTAATTCACATTCTGAAGGAAGAGGCACAAGGTCATGGTTTTTCTTAGAAAAACAATTTTCTTTTACAACCCATGAGCAAAAACTCAATGCTATCCAGCAAGACAACATAATTTTACTTACTTACTTACTTACTTACTTACTTACTTACTTACTAGAAGCCCAGTCAGAGTACAGAGGAATAACAAATTGTAGCACTTCGGAAGGGGCTGGCCAGATACATAAAGTCTGGAAGGATTAAATAAGAATGATTAAAGAAACTGGGTAATTTACCTGAAAAGACTTAGTTTTGTCCTGTGATATAAAATGTATCAGATGAACAAAAGTTGTTTGCCTAATTATTCACTGGTTTTCACCCAATATAGGCAGTCACTAGCTAACAGAGTTTAACCATGGAATGAGCTCCCTCATATGGTAAAAATCTCATTACTGAAGGGTGTTGAAGCCACTTTCATTGGTGCTCACTAACTCCATCCTTTTTATTCTTTTGACTCCCTCCTCCCCCCAACCCCCACACTTATTTTGCTAAGGTTTCAGTTTGAGCACTTGAATCCTTATCTCAACTGACTCATGGAAGGAAATACACTGCCCACCTTTTAGTTAGGCTGCCTAGGCGAGGCAGTACATCCCTAGGACTTGGGAATGGTGTGGGAGCACAGGATGTGGAGAGAGACAGAGACTTACAGAGTCAGTGACGGTGAGACAGACTGATTCACTCACTCGCTGGGGGTGGCTGGAATTGGAATAGGTAAACTTGGGTGTAGTCTGTCTGTGTCAGGATTAAGTCCAAGTGTCAGGATTAAGCAACATTCCTACCCCCCAGCCCACCTACATTTATTCTAAATGGATACTAGGTAATCACTACCCTATTTTACCTCTCCTCTTCTTGATAGGTAAGATATACACTGAGTGGCCAGATTATTACTATCTCTGAGCGCATAATAATCTGGCCACTCAGTGTATATCCCATATAATAAAAGGCTAATATGCAAATTGTCCCCTCGACCAGGAGTTCGACCAGTAGGCAGGCTGGCCAACCACCCATGTCCCCTCCCCCTAGCCAGGCTGGCTGGACCCCACCTATGCATGAATTCATGCACTGGGCCTCCAATACACACATACACACACAGAATGACCAGAGTATTATGTGTTTAGAGACATAATAATCTGATTATGTGTTCAGAGACATAATAATCTGGCCACTCAGTGTACATGGCAGATGTCCCTGAGTATTTGGATTTTAGTCAGTCCTAATCAATCTGGCTATCAAGTCATATTACAGACAAAAATGCTATTCAACCAAGAGATACTGATTCTAGTTCTACACATGCTTTATTCACGTAATAGCATTTATGCCTCATCATTTTTGAAGAAGCCTATCACTGTTATGGGCCTAGTGGGGTGGAACCTAATGGGCGATTATTTTTTATCTGACAATGAACGTAGAATCTATGCATGTCTTCCCAACTCTGCATTTAGTAGCATTGTGCTGGTAGCTTGGAATTGGTCATAGTGGAGTGCAAATTGGCAAACATTACACGTGAGGGCCTCTGGCCCCATGAAGAGCTGGTTGTTATACATTGACACATATACTGCTGAGTCTAGAATCTAGACAAATCCCAGTATGTCTTCCTGTCTAAGAAAACAGGTTATTTTATCTCCCAGCCTTGGTCATAAACTCAACTTAGTGGTTTCCTGGGTGGAATGGGGTTTGATGGGAATGGAGATAGGCTATGGAAACCTCATAATGGCACACAGACACACACACACTGCATTCAACATTAAGGCATCTACCTCCTATTCTTTGGCAAGATACCTCCACCATAAAGGAAAGAATACACTTTTCCCCTCCATTTCCCCCTTCCCCACTAAAGAAGTAGCATAAGTTTGTTTTGCATATTTATATATGAAAAGAAAACCATCTGTTTCTTTATTTTTATTGTTTATCTCATGACTAACATTTGCTTTTTATAACAGAGATAACTTATTTTACTTGAACCAACATATTTGTTGCTAATGTTTTTGTGCCTGGTGTTTGTATATACTCATGATAGTAATATCCTGAGTTCCTACTCCACTACATCCATATGCTTTGGGTGGGGTTGGCAGACTTCTGGATCTGGGAATAAGCAGACTCAGATGGTGAATGGCTCAGGAATGGGCAGGCAGCCAGTCAGGGGCCCCACGATGCAGAGGCAGCTGCAGGACAGATGAGAGACAGGCATGTACTTTTCTATACTGGACATGAACCTGGGAGAACATAATCCAGGAGCTGCTGGAGAAGGAGAAGATCCTACCCCCAGAGTTTCGGTCCTTAGATCCAACAATGACAGTAGTCTTAATTACTTAGTCCTAATTTTGATAGCTACAGAGTCTATCCAAATCCCTCCCCCCTTTTGGGGGGGGGGCTTAAATCAGTTGGAATAGTTCATATACAACCAAAAGAGTCTTGACTGATATGTTTCACAAATTCAGTTGAATTAGTAACCTTTTCAAAAAAGTTGTTAACCACCCTTCTGATGCTTTGTGTTGATATTTTCCAATAAAAATAAAATCTATGTGCTTGCTTTTTTTAAATAGTATTTTACTAAAATATTTCTTCTAAAATATTTGTTTTTTATATTTGTATATAAAGACACATTTAACTAAAAATTACATGCAGAATTTATCTCAAAAACTCTATAGAGCATTTTTATGTAGGAACATTCTTTGGATCATCCGCAGGTTTTACTGCTTTCACCCTCTGTAAGGCTCCTCCTCGAACAGGAAGTTTTTTAAGAGCAATATCAGTATCAGCCAGAGGTCCTCCCACCAACCGGGCAGGAGTGCTCTCCACTGCTACTACCCGTCCAGAGAGCACCTGAAAAGCAAAAGGTAAATAGCTAAGAGTCCATTTAGAACATTTTCAGTAGGAGAAAAACTCATTCATCCGTTAGCTTATTTTGGAAACAACACAAAACATACATATAAGTAACTGGGAGGCAGCATGACCTACTGGAGAGATAAGGACTTCAGAGCCAGGCAAATGGGCATGAATCCTACTTCTACAGCTCATCAGCTTTGCAATCAGGGCCAAATTACGTTTAGAAGAGGACACCAGGAACACTGGGTTATGGCATGAATCTATCTGCCAGGCAAAGGAGGCATTGCATGTTTTCTGACGAAGGGATGGAGAGCTATCACCTGACCAGTGTTTGCAGCAGTTCTGTGGGGATCCTGGAGGGCTGGGTCTAGTCTAAAGCAGCCCTGGGTGAGGGTGGAGGCACCTTAAAGACAAACATGCCTTCACGATATGAAAGTTGAACAGAAAAAAAGAAAAAATAAGAGACAAATCCCATGGAAATAACACTCTGAGGACTAAATTAGATATCTACTAAGAAAAGTAACAGAGAAAAAAAAAATCTTACCGTTGTGTTAAGGCCTTTAATATCTGTCTGGTGAAATATTGCATTTGCTGGTCGTTCACCGTATCTAGTGGATTCGATAGCTTTTTCCTGAAGTTTTTTTGCTTTCTGAAAAATTTTAAAGTAGAAAGAAAATAACCTTGCTATTAGAGCATTAACTATGGTATTTATAATGAAGGATACAAATTATATTTAATTATGTCTAGTTGCTTCTGTTTTATTAGTTAGCACTGGAATCTGCTAATCATTTAGGCTACGAAGATTAGCTAATCATTAGCAAGTTGTATCATTTGTACATTGCAGAATACACTGGTAACCTAAAAACATTATTGAGATTTCCAGATATACTGGTCATATACCAAGCAGTAAAGCAGGTCCTAGAGATTTTTAATGCATAATTGCATTTTTAATGCATAATTGAATAAATTTCTGAATTTATATCAGGTGATATGTGTTTTCAAAGTATTTTTGCATTAATTAAATACTAATTTAGTACTTAAATGTTTCAAGCATTTAGAATAATATCAGTTATATAATTTGTTGTGGTTACATTCAAGCTCAATATTTGAGACACTAGAACAGGTGAAATTCGAGGTAACCAATAGTCTGTTCAGAAGAGGCTGATTTTCATTACTGGCATATTTTTTTTATTTTATTGATTTTTTACAAAGAGGAAGGGAGAGAGATAGAGAGCTAGAAACGTCGATGAAAGAGAAACACCGACCAGCTGCCTCTTGCACATCCCCCTACTGGGGATGTGCCCGCAACCAATGTACATGCCCTTGATCGGAGTCGAACCTGGGATCTTTCAGTCTGCAGACCGATGCTCTATCCACTGAGCCAAATCGGTTTTGGCAATTACCGGCATATTTTATAAGTAAAGTTGGGAAGAACTTTCAGTGAAAAGGGGGAGACATGGTACACTGAATAAGTGTGTTCTTAGCTTTGCTCTTGCTACCTTAATATGGTTCCACTATTTTCGTGGATTAACATAACATGTAACAATTGCATATCTAGAGGAAGATTTATAGCATTACATAAGTCTTTTCAAAGTGTTAATAGAAAATATGGATAAAATTAATAAAATTTTAGAAATCCATGATGCTTCTTGTATATTTCAAGTGAATTAGCATTATAAATGTTTTAACTTTAGCTTATAGTTTTTTTTTTTTAAATGCCCAACAGGACAGCATTCTTCTATTTTTATTTATTCATTTATTTTTAATATATTTTATTGATTTTGCACAGAGAGGAAGGGAGAGAGATAGTTAGAAACATTGATGAGAGAGAGTCATCGATCAGCTGCCTCTTGCACACCCCCTACTGGGGATATGCCCGCAACCAAGGTACATGCCCTTGACCGGAATCAAATCCCGGACCCTTCAGTCCCCAAGCCCACGCTCTATCCATTGAGCCAAACCTGTTTCGGCTAGCTTATAGTTGAAGCAGCTTCCAAATGGGTGTTTATCTGAAATTCTCATTTAACCTTTAATATTATGTTTCTTTTGGTGGTCAGAGAGGGGAAACATCCTTGGGGGAGAGAATAATATGGACAATGATGCTTTCTGTCCTCCACTCTGCTTCTTACAGAACAGAACAAGAAGGCTCAGAAGGGAAAGCAGAAGCTTTTATGTAAGCTAGAAACACCACCCTTGCCTCCCACTGCTAAGTCAAATAAAATGCGGAGTGGCACCTCTGTAATTGTGAAAATTCAGTTTCGGTGATCATCCTAAACTGCATATGAGGATCTACTATGTTAATATTCTACAATAAGATCAACAGAAAAAGGTGAATGAATATTTACTCCTGGAAACGGTGTCAGAGTTAGCTATTTGTTGTGGATATCATAATATTTAAAAAATCCTACCTTTAAAGTTTTAGCATTTGACGTTCTAGCCAAGAAGTTTACCCATGATTTATTAGCCATTTCTCTTTGCTGGTGTGTGGCTTGTATCTGAAATGAGAAAGATAGTTAAGAGTTCCAGTTTCTATGAAAGAATACCAAAGGGATTGAAGGAACACCTAGTGTTTGCCAAGGTAAACCTTAAAGTTTAACTAGCAAAAGGATTAGAGTAATCATAAAGTTAACAACTTAAAAATAAAAGTCTTAAAATGAAAAAAAAAATGCTTCTTTCATTGTGTGTAGGGTTTGAACTGCTTTCTCCAAAATGTAATATAAGACTGTTGTTATAAACATACAAAATATAAAAATAACAACAATGGCCCTGGCCAGTGTGGCTCAGTTGGTTGGGCATCATCCTGCGAAGTTGCTGTTTAGGTTCCTGGTCAGGGCACATGCTCTGGTTGCAGGCTGGATCCAGAAGGGATCAGACAGGAGGCATTTGATTGATGGTACGCTTTCAGATAGATGTTTCTCTCTTCTCCCTTCTGCTCTCTCTAAAAATCAATAAACTACTATTAAAAAAAACAAAACAAACAAACAAACAAAAAAAACACACACACCAAAAACAACCACCACCATCAATTCATAGCAAGACTGATGGTTTTACATGATTATCACTTGTGAGGATGGATAATAATTGAGAACAAAATATATGAATGACCCAACAACAAATTCACAAGAGAAAGGTTCCTGCTGCCACTGATAATAGTTCATCAAAGATTATGAATTGTAAATATTAGCTCTAATCTCCACCTGCAGCAAGACAAGCAATAACGTGAGACTGCCGGGTTGTTGTGGTGATGGAGCCTAGGGAGGTGACTGCTCACAAACTGGGAAAAGTGTCCTCAGCATGCCACCCACTAACTACACAGTCAGAGGACATGTGCCCCTGCTTGGTGTAAAATACACTGTTTTAATCATGAACCTAAGGGTATTTAACTAAATAACTGCTATATATATATGTCAGAGCCATGAGAACAAATCAACAATAACCAATGTATCAACCATAGCTAGTCTACAGAGCAGACATCCTGTCACTCCGCAGAACTAATGAGGCAGCAGATCTTCCAATAGGGTGAACCCCACTTATGAGCAAATAAACAGGGCAATGTGGCAGCATAAATAAAAATTATTAACAAACAAAATTTCCAAGCAAGGAGGTATCTCAAAGAGCAGAATTCATCGGTGGACGCAGAGTTCCACTAGGCTGAAGCTGTAAACTTGAGTAGTTTATGTGAAAGGAGCAGCAATAGAAAACACTCTGGAAATCACCTCAGAGGGCTTTGAAAAAGTCACACAGGATGGCCAGGTATAAGTGGGCATCTACATCATCTTTGCGTTCTGTGGACAAGTTAAACAGCCACTTACCCTCTTTGCTCAGAAGCTTTTGATGTGTCCGTTTCCCACCTGTGTAAAGCTTTAGGAGAATGGCTCATATTTTTCTGATCAGGTGAAGTCAGACACCCGCCTATATCTGGACTCACAGAACGCTCATAGTGCTCAGGCACTGAAGGGAGATTATGCCTGTGGCTGGCACACCAGCAAGGGCTTATCACAGAGTGAGGGCCAATGTTCTCAGTGAGGCTATTTTTGTAGTCACAAAGATACACTGTTGTCAGAATTTGCTAAATGTATACACTCAAATAGCCAACAATTCTTGGAATTCTGTTTGACATTTCAAAAAAGAGAGTGTCTTTACCTTTTGAAAGGCAAGTCTGTAGAAATCAAATTATGATGCCTAAAATAGCATTGAGTATAGGAATTGAATATCTTAAGCTCTTAACTCCATGGTGTCTTTTAAAAACTGTACAGAGTGAAAGTAACAAGGAGAGAAAATTACAAATAACTTTGAAGTACTGAAACATTCAGAAGTAAGGCAAATATATCCTTGGAGGACTTCAACTAGTTTATACAATGAATTATCGTGTGCCTCAATGGTATCTGTGGCTTACTTTTGCATATACTTTTTGTTCATCTTGCACATCCTGGCGTGCTTGGATATCACACATCTCAGATTGCAGGGAAGCAACCATCTGTCCAACATTTTCTGAAGCTGTTAAAATAGTTTGTAAAACATGTCTATCTGTAGTGACTGGTTTTAACTTTTCTATCTTTATTTCTTCATAAATTTCATTCCATATTTCTCCAATCTGTTATAACAAAGTTTAAGTTTAAAAAAAAAGTCAAATTAACAAAAGATAAAACATACAATTTTAGATAATACTTTATTTTGATTGTTGTTCCAAAGTTAACACATACTGAATCAGCTTTTCCTAACTTACACCCTAGGCGTGAGTTAAGTGCACTGGAAATGATTTGGAGCACCAGTTACAGTTGAGTATCTATAATATATATAAAGAGACAATATGCAAATTAGGCCAGGACAGGGGGAGGTTGCCCACGCACGTGAGGCTCAGAGCAGAGATGGAGACAGAGACAGGGGGGCCTGCCCCAGCCGGTGTGGCGGCTCAGGTGGCCCCCGAGGAGACACAGGCAGGAGGGCTGGGAAATGCTGCAAGTTCCAGTCCCCTGCGGGGCGCCTCTTGGCACAATTTCAACCACATGCTGGACCTCTAGTTCAGAAATAATTATCAAATGTTTTTCAAGGATACGGTATTCATGGATGCGGCTCCACTACCTAGGTCTAGTTCATTGCCATCGTCCCTGCCCTCTGGTTACATACTCATTCTTTTCACAGCTGCAGAAACTGCTGCTTTAGTCTCATTCTCTTGAACTACTGATGTTCTCCTTCCCAAAGCGTTGTATTGAAGGACGAATCATGCCGAACTTACAGGACAATGACCATGAAATTCTTGGGGCCCTAGAAACTAGCTACCCTGAGAATCAGAGCCCTGCCCCTTGCCTTCTTGCTAAAGTGGAACTGAATCTCAAGGTCTTAACTCCACGTTTCCATCGAACTGAGAGTTCCATTGTATATTCTGGGTTGTTGGAAATTAATGTGCTTGAATACGTTTAAATTTAAAGAAAAATTTGTATATCCAGGATAGAGATAAAATTCAATCACCTTTTCATTTGAAAATAAGATATTTATTCATTTCGACTTTCAAACACAGTATACTAGTATTAGTAGAAAAAATGTTTAAAAAGACTTCTCTGAAACTTCAAAAGCATTTATTTACCAAAAATACAACCAGCAAGGTAAGCAACCTTGTACTGACATTTGATATCACATAAAGTAATGATAAAGAAAAAGTATGAATAATTTATTTTAATAAGAAATAACTCATTTAACTCTAGCTCCTAATTATCTATAAAGAGACGAAATTATATTTTACACATTCTATTAGGCTCCTGAATAGCTTTATCTCAGTAACAGCCACCTTCTTTTATAAACTCACTAGAGGCCTGGTGCACAAAATTTATGCACCAATAGGGTCCCCAGGCCTCGCCAGCAATCAAGGCCAATCGGGGCCTTCCAGCTGCTGGCTCAGGCCTTCCTTTGTTCTGTGCCACCCCCTGGTGGAGTACATCATAGCGGGTAGTCGAATTCCTGGTAGGTCGAACTCCCAAGGGGACAATTTGCATATTAGCTTTTTTTCACTTTTTTTTTCTTTCTTTATTTTTTTTTTTTACCATTTATTTATTTATTTTAACATATTTTATTGATTTTTTTTGCCCCCCTCCCTCCCTCCCACACATCCCCTCCCTCCCCAGAGTTTTATGTCCATTGGTTGTACTTATATGCATGTATACAAGTCCTTTGGTTGATCTATTATCTCCCCCAGATCCTCCTCCCCTCCCCGCTGTGATTTGACAGTCTGCTTGTTGCTTTACTGTCTCTATATCTATCTTTTGGTTCATCAGTTTATAATGATCTTTATTATCCACAAATGAGTGGGGTCATGTGGTGTTTCTCTTTCATTGATTGGCTTTGCATATTAGCTTTTTACTATATAGAATAGTGGATGAAATCTTATCTCACAGAAAATATAGAATCAATTTTTGTTATGTCTTTTGAATAGTATCAGATGCTAAATAGAAAATGAAAACTGCACAGTTTGGGTGACTGTTCACAATTACAAACAAATATTTTATTTCCCAATTGACTTTTTTGCCATACTAGGTTTTAATAATAAGGTTAAGAAGGTACTCACTTTAAAATCAAGATATCTATGTATGATACAAAGGGTCACAAAATCTTTAGTAGATAGGCCAGGTAAATTTTCAAAATCTAAACAAAATTTATATAGAGAGAATTAGTTTAACAGAACATGTGATCCCAACACCCTCCCCGTCCCCCCCCCCCAACACACAAACACAATTAAAACAATGCAAACAGTAACTTTTGAATTCATCTTGACTTATGAAAAAGTTACTTCTGTGAGCTTCTGACTTCTTATTGCCAGGCCATCCTTATGTAGTCATTAAAGAGGAGTAGTTTCGGTGCTTTGATCAGACTATGGTAATTTCCTTTCAGAACCCAAGGAGTGAGGACTTTTTCCTTAGTCAGAAGCAGGACTTTTTTTTAAAAAAACAAACACCCTTAGGTGATTCAGAATTATTGTATTTATCCTAGTTATCTAGACTAGTGGTCAGCAAACCGCGGCTCGCTAGCCACATGCGGCTCTTTGGCCCCTTGAGTATGGCTCTTCCACAAAATACCACGTGTGGGCGCGCACATACTGTGCAATTGAATCTTCGTGGCCCATAAGCAGAAGTCAGTTTTCGGCCTGGGTGAGTCTATTTTGAAGAAGTGGCACTAGAACACTCAAGGGGCCAAAGAGCCACACGTGGCTCTCGAGCTGTGGTTTGCCAACCACTGATCTAGACTAAATGCCTTTAATTTGATTGATTAGGGTGTAGCCTGGACATTGGGAAAACAATGGAACATGCATTTATCTGTATAAAGGAACTTTTGTTCATCATGTTTGAAAAATGGGTTCCAAAGCAAAAGCAAAATACATCCTTAGCAAAACAGAGAGGCTCCCGTGAATCTGACAAGTAGCTTCTTACCTAGTTTGCCCAACACAGCATAAATTTTTGCTCTAATGTTTTCTGCAACTTCCATAACTGCAATAGTCGGGCAGTTAGCAGGCATTGGCATGATTTTTTGCTCTGCTTGAAAACTAGTAAATAGAGGTTTCTTTGTATCTAATCAGTAGATGTGGTGAAAACATAGAGAGGACAGATAAAAACAGTAGTAAATTAATACTTAATTTTGAGATTTTAGTCCAGACATCATAAAATATTTAAAAACATAACACAGTAAAATAGTGCGCTTACATGGTTACTCTTTAAAACACACACACACACACACACACACACACACACACACACACACACACATATATATATATTTTAAATATATTTTATTGATTTTTGAACAGAGAGGAAGGGAGAGAGACAGAGAGTTAGAAACATCAATGAGAGAGGGTCATGAATCAGCTGCCTCTTGCACACCCCCTACTGGGGATATGCCCGCAACCAAGGTACATGCCCTTGACCGGAATTGAACCTGGGGCCCTTCAGTCCCCAAGCCGACGCTCTATCCATTGAGCCAAACTGGTCCCGGCCATATATATATTTTTTTTATTTCAGAGAGGAAGGGAGAGGTAGAGAGAGAGAGAGAGAGAGAGAGAGAGAGAGAGAGAGAGAGAGAGAGAGAGAGAGAGAGAGATAGAGAGAGAGAAGCATCAATGATGAGAGAAGCATTGATCCACTGCCTCCTGCATGCCCCAAACTGGGGATCGAGCCTATAACCCAGGCACATGCCAGGACCTGGAATCAAACCGTATGGTTCACAGATTGACGCTCAGCCACTGAGCTATGCTGACTGGGCATGGCTACTCTTTTGAAAGCATCAGTAATCAGTGATTTCTTCCCCATTCTGTGGCAAAACTTATAGCTTTCATTTTTATTATTTACATAAGATATAAACATTACACAAAACTGCTTTTTAAAAGTGAAATTCTTGCCCTGGCCAGGTGGCTCAGCTGGCTGGAGCATCATCCTTTATACCAAAAGGTTGCAAATTCAGTTTCTGGTCAGGGCACATTCCTAGGATGCAGGTTTGATCCCCAATTGGAACATGTACAAGAGGCAACCAATTGATGTTTCTCTCTCACATCGATGTTTCTCTCCCTTCCTTTCTCTCTAAAAATCAATAAAAAACATATCCTCGGGTGAGGATATAAAAAATAAAAAGTGATGCCCTATCCAGTTTGGATCAGTGGATAGAGCATCAGCTCATGGACTGAAGAGTCCCGGGTTCAATTTTAGTAAAGGGCACAGACAGTTGCAGAATCCATTGGTAATTGATGTGACTCTCACATTGATATTTTTCTCTCTGTCTCTCCCCCTCCTTCCATTCTCTCTCTCTAAACATATATTAATCGGGTGAGGATTAATAAAAAAAAATTATTTTCATTTAAGAATAAATAATACTAACTGTTTAGATGAAACCATAATAAGAATATTCAAAGATTTAGAAATGTAATGTAGCATTGTAGAATAGATAAATGAACTATAAATTTTAAGACTTTAAACTTCATTGATTTAGGATCCAGTAACTAAAATTTATGAAACTTTTGATTTATTTTTATTTTAAAAAGTAAGTTTCTTCACAAAAAAGTCAATTATATAAATATGAAGCAACAACAATGTACAAAATACTATAAAAATTGTTTTCAAGCCCTCTATTTACATCCCACTTTTTATTGGTAGATAAAATATTACTGAATCTATTTGTAAAAACAGGTGACCCAAAGAAGCGTTACTTTTTTAAAGTTAAAGTAGATTATTAAATAGCATTTCCTGAATTTTTTCTATAAAAATATAAATCTACTATTAGTATACTTATAAAACCATTCAGAATTTATTAAGGCAAGCTCTGCAAACATCTGTGAAAAGAACTTTAAATAAAGGGATGAAAGTCTTTATACATTCCTAGTATCTTCTTTTTTTTTAATTAAATTTACTGGGCTGAGATTACACACGTTAATAATAACATTATATAAGTGACTAATAACATTATATAAGCCTCAAGTTTACAATTCTATAACACATCATTTGCATCTTGCGTGGTGTGCTCACCACCCAAAGTCTAGTCTCCTTCTGTCACCAAGTATTTGATCCCCTTTACTCTCTTTATCTTCCCCCGACCCCTTTTCACTCTGGTAACTACCATACTGTTAGCTGTGTCTATTACTTTCCTAATCTTTATAAGACATTTAAAAAATGAGCCCAATTGCTTGTACTAACGATTATACATACACTCACCAACAATCATCCCGCGTTTATCACGTACGACTCCTAGTTCTCTTTCTTCCTTTCTCCACAATTTAATCAAAAGGCTGGCAGCTGTTTGATCCTTCTTCCCTCGCCATGTATTGACGTGAACCGGAGTTTTGGGATTATCACAAAATTCAACCATTATTGCAAGTATTAGATTAAAGAATTTCTTCTGGTCCAACTTTTGCAAGGGAACAGGAAAAGAAAAAGTTGCAATAAATATTAAAAACTATTACCTTAAAAAAGGAGAAACATTTGTATTAATCAGTGCTTTTTCTAAATGATTGCCTTATAAAATTGAAACTCTACTTAAGTATGATCTGTGCTAATTTCCTCTTAAAACAGAAGCCAATGGTAATGAATACATTTTCAAACATTAGGAATTAAAAAGAAGAAAAAGATTAAATGTAATTCTGATGTTGTTACAAACATATATCATGACCTAAAATGAAACTGACTGACTGACGAGGAAAAAGGGAGAGTGCAAAAATAAGGAAAGATGTTTATTTTAGGAGGAGTCAGGGCAACAGTGCTGTATTTAAGTCACTGGAAGAATAGGATCTTTCCAATTTACATGCTTTAACGTATGTAAAGACTCATAACAGCTATAACCTCATTGTTACTAAAAGAAGAAGTGATGGTAAATGCAAGTGGTAGTCACATATGAAAATAATTTAAAATGAGGTGTAATTTTATATTTTGAACATCAGCATCCATAAAAGTGTAAAGAATTTAAGGAAAATTATCAAGTGTATTTCCTTTGTTTTATGAGAACTAGTTTGCAGCAAAGCAAAATGTAGGCAGAGAAAAGTGATCCACAGCAATGGCCTCCAAACAGTGATGGCTTCTGTGTAAAATATATTTTATTGATGAGCTCTTATAGCACACTGCTGATAGACTAGCAAAGGAAACGTAACCTGTTGTTCCAATTATAGTAATCGTTTCCTCTTTTATTACAGGAAGGATAATAACATTTACCTACTTTAGGGAGTTATTACCGTGAGTCACATGAGACTGCCTGTCACATAGTAAACTCTCGATAATATTTAACCACTATTGGCAATTATTATTACACATTGAATAAATATTTTAGCTGGTTACATTAAGCAGAACTCTCAATACAATGAATTTTTTTTATTTCTGTATTTTGGTTTTAGGAGAAGGGCTGAGGTTTATATAAAAACTTCATTAAAATGTTTGTAATTATAATTTAACTTGACTGGTTTAAACTACAGTAAGTACTACATTAAGCACAATCAAGTAATTATATTCATAATAATGGAAAACATGTGCATAGTTTCAGAAACATCTAATGTTACAGTAACACTGTGTGTATATATGAATATAAAGTGTATATACAAATGCATGTGCACGTGTAATGCATGCATACACATATCACTCCTCCTCCTCCCAACAGTGCAGGAGGTAAGTACTGCTGTTATCTCTGTTTTGAGGAAGTTTATATCAGAGATGTTAAGTGACTTATCCAAGTTACACAGCTAACACTATTGGCTTCCAGCCTATGCTCACAGTCACTGTACTATATGACCTGTCCTACCGGCCTTTGTACCTTCCCATCAAAGAAACCCTAATGGCAAAGGAGAGTGAACACAAGTGGGAAATGTCTTTGAAGTCTTGCATATAATTGTAAATATTAATATAAAACTCAAGTTATTTAATCTATGGACACATGTTTAATGTAACTCCTCACTTCCAAATCTTTAGGAAAAAACAAGATTCCAGGAAGATGAGCCAAATTAATTTGGGAGGTTGAGAATCCCCTGACGCAGCACCATGTGCCTCTGAGCATACTCGAACTGTAATCAGAGCAATGTGGTAAGCAGTTTCAGACCGCATTAGTAGAGGTACACATATATTCTTCTCTATATGTTCAACTTCCTGAACATCTGAAGGGTTTCTGGTTATGATTCAGTCCTGTTTATCAAGGTGGTTATTTTAATAATTATTATTTATTTTTGTTTGTAATGTTTTATAGCTAATGAATTTGCTCTCTTATCTCTAGGGTCAACTAATTTTCTTTCTTTTATTATTATTATTTTTTTAACACTCATCCAAGGATATTTTTTTCCCATTGATTTTTAGAAAAAATGAAAGCGAGGGAGGATGGGTAGAGAAAGAGAAACATCAATGTGAGAGAGACACATCGATTGGTTGCCTCCTCCTCCCTCATCCACTGCAACACTCCCCCACCAGGACTGGAGAACCTGCAACTAAGGTATGTGCCCTTGACTGGGAATTTAACCTATAACACTTCTATCTGTAGGCCAACACTCCAACAATGGAGCCAAACCAGGCAAGGCTAATTTTCTTTTATTTATTATTTTTCCTACTTGAGTTATATATATATATATATATCTTATCTAATAAAGAGGAAATATGCAGATTGACCATCACACTGTAAGAAGACGTTGAGCCCACAGTGGAGGCAGGAATCCCATAACACAAGATGGCTGTATCCACAGAGGAGGCTGAGTTCCAATAACAAGCCTTAATGAGCAATCAGCAGGGACCTGAGGCTGTGCCCCTCCTCCCCCCAACCCCCACTCCCCTGCCTGGTGGGGCTTGACAGGGGACCTCAGGCTGCACCCCCTGCCCCATCACCAGGCTGGGGGATCTCAGGCTACCCCCCCCCCCCCGCGCCTCAGGTCGTGCCCCCCTGCTCCAGCACCAGGCTGGAGAAACTGAGGCTGCGCCCCTGACCTGGCAGGGCTTGAATGGGTGGGGCCAGCCGAGTCTGGATCTAACCCAATGGGGGTGGGGCTGGCTGGATCTGGGTCTTCCGTGATTTAAAGGCACATATGGGTGGGCGGGGACTTGACTCTGGTTCCCATGGTGTGCCCCAGACTCTGACAGGAGGAAGATTTTCCTATATATTTTACTAATTTTCTTTCATCTCTTACACTTCTATTATAGAGAAAGGGCAAATAGCAATATTAAAATATTTCCTCTAATTAATTCCCTTTTAAGTGCACAAATTTTGTGCATTGAGTCACTAGTATATGTGTGTGTGTGTGTGTGTGTGTGTGTGTGTGTACACATACACACACATATTTAAAATTGATTTAAAAAAAGAAAATTGACTTGAGAGAGAAGAAGGGAGAGGGAGAGAGAGAAACATCAATGATGGGAAAGAATCATCCATTTGATTTGCCTCCTGCATGCTCACTACTGAGGATCCAGCCCATAACCTTGGCATGTGCCATAATTGGAAATTGAACTTTGACCTCTTGGTTCATGGGTCAACACTCAACCACTGAGCCACACCAGCTGGGCAAAAAATATTTTTCAATTACAATTTACATTGAACTCTTTTCCTTTTAGAGAGATGAAAGGACACAAATAATGTTAGTCTCTTTGCCAAATCAAAATAGTTTGTTATTCTGTTAATAAAATCAGGCACTGGCAATCAACAGCTAAAACTCTGTGAGGATATCTCACAAAGTTTTATTTATTAGGTCTAGTAATAATTAATGTCGTTTTCTAATACTTTTTTAAAATCAAATTTATTTAAACAATACAACAAAATTTAATCAACAATATAGTTGCCGTTGTTTTCTACTACTTATGCCCAACGCTCAGGAAGCATTTTAATCCCTCTGTTGTAAAATTCTTGTGATTTTGATGCAAAAAATTCGGTCAATGCATTTTTGAGGCATTTTTCATTATTAAATTTTTTTCCAAGAAGAAAGTTTTGCAAAGAACGAAACAAATGGTAATCGGAAGGGGCAATATCAGGAGAATATTCAGGTTGAGGGAGAACTTCCCATTCCAACTGGCGCAGTTTTTCAGCAGTGATTCTTGCAGTATGCGGTCGTGCGTTATCGTGGTGAAGAATTACGCCCTTCTGATTAATCAGCGCGGGTTCTTTTTCTCTTAAAGCTTGGGCTAACCTTTCCAGTTGGGCCCTATACACTGCACTTGTAATGGTTTGGTTAGATGGTAAAAGTTCATAACGAAGAATTCCTTTAAAATTCCACCAAACACACAACATCACTTTTATCACATGCAAGTCAGGTTTTGGCGTGGGCTGCGGAGCCTCATTTTTGTCCAACCATTGAGGCCGCCTTTTCAAATTAACATACAGCACCCATTTTTCATCTCCGGTAACAATTTGCTCTAAAAAACGGCAAACGGTTTTGACGAGAGAGGAGCGAACTGCAAATTGTGACTCTTTGATTACGGTTGTTGTCGGTCAACTCATGAGGAACCCATTTTCCAAACTTTTGGACTTTGTCAAGTGACACAATTGATTGGAAATTGTTTTTTGTGAACAATTTAAAGTTGTCGCAAGCTCTTGTTGGGTAATTTGAGGATTTTGCACCAAAAGAGCTTGAAGAGCTTCTTGATCAAAATTGGACACACGGCCTCGACCACTCTTGTCATCTAACGAAAAATTTCCCTCGCGAAATTTCTCAAACCAATGCTGGCATTTTCTGGTGCTAACTGCATCTTGACCAAGAGCACTACAGATGTTTTTTGCAGCCTCACTTGCTTTTCTTCCTAATTGGAACTCGTAAAGCATGCAGTGCCAAATATGCTCTTCATCCGCCATCTTCTTAGCCCTAGTTTTGCAACAAAAACCAAACCAAACACAAACTTTTTCAAGCAAAACTTGTTAATTGCACTTCACACGTTCTATAGATACCACGAGTTTGAAGGTTATGTCAATACAAGTCAACGCCAAACAAGATTTTAAACGAATGTTTAAAAACGACATTAATTATTACTAGACCCGATAAACAAAAATTATACTTTTCTCAAACCCCCCACATCATCTTGACTGTGAACTCATAACTGAGGCCAGTGGGGAGTTACCTTGACGATAAATGAGGGTCCTTGCCATTCTTCATAGCTTCTAAGTGGCAGCCTCTTTCCTGGAAGGTTGCTCACTCCTGCTCATTCTGTAAGATGCTCCAGGCCACACTAGCTTCTTCACATTCCCTATACACTATACACAATTCTTTAAAAATGCTGATCTTCATTCCTTTCTCTAATTGGCCCTTAACTTTTATTACTAAGAGATGAAGCTAAAAGTTATTAAACCATTACAGGTCTTGATAGTCTAGCACTTCATATACTGTTTCTTTAAAGATTGCTGGGGGAAACAGCACATAAAACAAATTCTGTGTTGTTGTGGGTTTGGGAACACTGTCCTAAATAAACTGATTTCTTCACTGGAGTGATTTTCAGAGCCATTAATATGCAAATGAATATTATAAATCCCCAAAAGGGATTTTGCTTAAAACAAACGCTTACATATTTTTGGGGAACATTTAATTACAAAACAATGTTTTGTGGTACTCAGTTTGGGAAGGGTTAATAAAGACTTTTTTTTTTTTTTTTTTTTTTTTTTACAATTGTTATAATCATACTTACTGCCAATAAATCCAAAAGGAGAAAAATGCCTTCCTTTTCAAGAAAGTAATCCTCTAAGGAATAACAAGCCAAGATGCAGCACCTGAAATAAAAAAGGAAGTTATTCACTGAACAAGGATTTATTGTTAAACTCAATTTGTCCACTTATTGCTGTAAAATTTTTTTCAAAGTACTTTTCTTCATTTCATAAAATCAAGTAATATTTTTACTTAAAAATTTAACTTTGAAAAGACTTTGCCAGTGTAGTTTAATTTCAACTATTTTAAAACCAAGATCAATTAATTATTTTTCATAACTACCTATTGGCTTTTCTGTAGATGCAATATGCTCCTTTGCTTTCATGGATATTAATTATTCTTAGAGGTCTCCTCTGGTTTCTCTAGCAACTTTTTTCTTTAAAACTTATCCATCTATTATCTCTTTCACAGTGTTGGTATGTCTTATCGAATTAAAAAAAAAATAAATATATTTTTCTTGATTTCAGAGAGGAAGGGAGAGGGAGAGAGAGATGGAAGAATCAATGATGAGAGAGAATCATTGATTGGCTGTCTCCTGTGTACCCCCTGCTGGGGATCTAGCCCACAACCCCAGGCATATGCCCTGACCAAGAATCAAACATTGAACTGCTTGGTGCTCAACCACTGAGCCACACTGACCAGGATTTTTCTTCTTTTTAATGTGGGCATTTATCATTGTAAATTTCCTCTTAGTATTTCTTTTGCTTTACTACATAAGTTTTGGTATGTTGTGTTTTCATTTTAGTTTGTCTTGAGAAATTTTCTAATTTCCTCTTTGTTTTTGTCTTTGATTCAATGGTTATTTCAGGAGTTTGATGTTCAATTTAAATTCATTTTTGAGTTTTCCTCATTTCCTTTTGTTACTGATTTCTAGTTTTATTTCATTGTGAGCAAAAAATATATTTGGAATTATTTCTGTCTTCTTAAATTTATTAAGATTTGTTTTTGCGACCTGGCATGGGATCTATTCTAGAGAATATTGAATGTATGCTTATTAAAAAAAAACAAAACTCTGGCCCTAACCAGTTTGGCTCAGTGGGAGTGCATCAGGCCTGCGGACTGAAGGGTCCCAGGTTCGATTCCGGTCAAGGGCATGTACTTTGGTTGCAGGCACACCCCCAGTAGGGGGTGCGCAGGAAGCAGCTGATTGATGTTTCTAACACTCTATCCCTCTCTCTTCTCTGTAAAAAAAAAAAAAAAAAAAAAAAAAAAAAAAAAAAATCAATAAAATATATTAAAAAAAAAACAAAAACACCAAAAGACAAAAAACTCTGTCTCAACTCTTAATAATTCACTTTTGATCATCAAATATGTGGGTTCCCCCTCCCCCAATACCAATTGGGTGTCCTACAATTCAATTTAATTCTGACACTATCTACCTGGAATTAGAATAAGAACTCACAGGTACTGGGTCCAGTCTGGATGCCAGTCCAGGTTGCTTCTGAACCACCAGCTGTATATTAGATGCGCCACCCTCCATGGGATGAAAATCTGTTAAAGAGGCTCACAGAACTAAGGACAACAATGTACTCACTAGATTACTGTTTTGTTATAAAAGGGATGGAGGAGATGCAGCAGACAAGGGAGAGAGAATCTCCATGTCCTCTTCTCAGAACCTCCATGTGTTCACAAGCTGCAAGCTCTTTCAGCCTCATAGCTTAGGGTTTGATGTAGCTTCATCATGGAGGCACAACTGGTTAAATCACTGGCCGTTAGCGACTAAACTCAATCCCCAGCCTTTCTCCCCTCCCTGGAGGTTGAGGGTGGGTGTAATATTTCCAACTCTCTAATCAATTATATGATTGGTTCCCCTGGAAACCAGACCCTCATTCTGTTTCTATATAGGGGGTTTCCAAAAATCATCTTATTAATATGAACTCAGCTGTGGTTGAAAGGGACTTGTTATGAATAACAAAATGTTTATTACTCTGGAGATTTTAGAGAAACTGAGAATAAAAGATCAAATATTACAACAACAACAGATGCTTCCATTACTCTTATTGACTAAAAAATTACAGGTGTTTCAGGAATTCGGTACTAGGAATTGACCAAATCTATATTTCTTATTATAAATCACAATATCACAGCAGCACTTGAAAAGAATATGTATTCTGCTGCTATTGGATGGAATGTTCTGTATATATCTTAGGTTCATTTGATCTATAGTTATCAGTTTTGTTTTTATAATGTGTTGCAGTGTGTCTTTCATAGTAAGTGTTAATGATATATAAAACTCAAGTGATATCCTCCAGGACAGTCTTGTAAATTACTAGTAATATTAAGAAAAGCAGTATTTTTTACTCTTAGAAATGCTACAAAGTTTGGGAAACAATATTGGTTAGGAAATACAGAGTCAATTGGTTTTTAACTTCTTTAAGAAAAGATGAATGAGGAATTCAACAGTCTTCAAGTGTAAGAACAATACTAATAGATGTCAGTGTTTTCCCAGACCAGGCTAAAATGAAATGGGTTCAAATCACAAAAAGAATTATTTAAGTTTAGATACAAGAATTGAGTGACAGACAAGATTACCTTCCAAAGGACATTGGTAAGTGTGTTTTGGGGATTATTAAAAAGAAAAAGGCATTGAGAGAGTTAACTTTCTGGTGTGATTTTTGAGGAAAGAAAATTGGCACACATGGCTATCGAGGTAACTTTCTTGTACTGTGATTCCATCTAACTTGAGTTCAGTAATACTCACCAAATGCTGTCCAATGTACTAAAAAGAAGTACAGTGTAGCCTAATCCACTCTGAAACTTCTTCGGGTCTGTTTTCATTACATGAAGAACTATATCCACTCCTTCAGTTCCAAATATTTCCTACGAGATTTATTTAAAATTATTTATTGAAATAAATAAGTAATCCCTTTCTTTCCTATTTCATCCTGTCTCCTAAAACTTTTTCTATCAGATAAATACAACACTTTTAGGAAAATACTACTTTTTTGTTGTTGTTTGTTTCTGTACTTACCAGTTCTCAGGAATTTAGGACAAACTATTAGAAACCTAATCATTTTAAGAATGGGCATCAGCCGAGACTGGTTTGGCTCAATGGATAGAGCGTCGGCTTGGGGACTGAAGGGACCCGGGTTCAATTCCGGTCAAGGGCATGTACTTTGGTTGCGGGCATATCCCCGGTGGGGGGTGTGCAAGAGGCAGCTGATCGATGACTCTCTCTCATCGATGTTTCTAACTCTCTATCTCTCTCCCTTCCTCTCTGTACAAAATCAATAAAATATATTAAAAAAAAAAAAAAAAAGAATGGGCATCAATCAATAGAAAAAAAACTTTGTTTTTTTCACTTTCTCTCTCTTTGAAAAAAATAAACTATAAGGCCCATGATTTTCTTCCACAATATAATGGATATAGTCAATCATCATATCAGATGAAAACTAGCTAACAACAAGTAATTTAAGAGTCTAAAATTAGATCATGGAAAATTTTCTAACACTCCAAAAAGAGAAACAAATATATAAAACAACAGTTAAAACATAAATAATCTATATCACATTATCAGTTAATATTTATCCCCTTCAAATTATCTTCCTCATTGCCTTGTTGTTCAGTTCTAGTTCCCAATAAGCAAGACTGAGTATTTTTCCAGAAATATAGTAACAGAGTGGCAATATAAGGAGAAGTTGCATCAAAGCTTGGAGCTAAGGATGTATTTACTGTTGCTGTTCTCTTTCTCTAAAATCCCTCTATTGAAACTTTCATACACTTTTTATTTTTATATTTTTATTGATTTCAGAGATTAGAAGGGAGATGGAGAGAGAGATAGAAAGATCAATTATAAGAGATAATCATTTTTTTTGGCTGCCTCTTGCACACTTCCTACTGAGGATTAAGCCTTCAACACGGGCATGTGCCCTGACCGGGAATCAAACTTATGACTGCCTGATTCATAGGTCAATGCTCAACCACTGAACCATGCCAGCCAGTCTATACATTTTTTATTTTCATCTTTCCAATTCTGTCTCTTGTTTTTTAAGTTTTCAATTTGTGAGACTCAGAGTTTGCTATGAAGTTTAAAAAAAATCAAAGGGAATCAGCTCTTTTCCAAACTTTTAGTTTTATATTTGAACCTGATTCAAACCCAAAACAGCATTTATACCGGTACAACTTACTTAGGAAAACTGTTTACCAGTTTCTTAAAAACATACACTTACTTTATGATCCATCAACTGCACTATTATATATTTACCAAAGAGTCATGAAAACATGTCCACAAAAGACAAGTACAATAATGTACATTGATGCTTCATATATAATAATCTCAAATGAAAACAACCAAAGTGTTTGTAATTAGGGGAATAGAAAAGCAAATTTTTGGTATATTTGTATAATCAAATATTATTTCAGGAATATAATTAGCAATACTGATCATGCAACAACATGGATCTAATTCAGAAATATGATGGCTGGATAACAGGAACCAGATATAAAAAGAGTAAATACTATGATTCCATCATTATAAAATTAAAGAATAGGCAAAACTAAGAGGATAGAAATCAGAATAGTGGTTTCCTGGAAGCAAGTGGGAGTATGATTACTCAGGAAGATGAATGAATTTTATAGGGAGGTAACAATATTCTCCATTTTAACAGGGGTTTTGTTTAAATGAATGTATACATTTGTCAAAATCTATTGAACCATATACTTAAGACCTATACACTTTACTGTATATAATTGTACTATAATTATAAAAAATATTAAATTAAATCTCTATAAGATTAAAGAACACCAACATTTATGGGCACTTAATAAGAAAAAGCTTATAGCATTAGGTCAGTGGTTGGCAAACTCATTAGTCAACAGAGCCAAATATCAACAGTATAACGATTGAAATTTCTTTTGAGAGCCGAAAACTGACTTCTGCTCATGGGCTATGAAGTCTCAGTCACACTGTATGTACGTGTCCGCATGTGGTATTTTGTGGAAGAGCCACACTCAAGGGGCAAAAGAGCTGTATGTGGCTCGCGAGCCCAAGTTAGCTGACCACTGAGTTAGGTGATTGGAAGATCTAAACAAAACTTTTATTCACAGGCATACATACCTTCCTGGAAATATTATTTTCACAAATAGAAGATAAAATAACTAATATATCAGATTGAATTTCCAAAAGAATGGCCTCTTCCTTATCATTAATCTTGTTTATTGTATATTTAAATATCCCTGATATAAGAAAATTAAAGAATGCAAAGTTAATGGACAGTATATTTTTATTTTAATCAATTATTGCTTTGAAATCCTTTCTTATAAAAATCTCAGCTAGAGAAATCATTTTAAAAGGGGCTATTTTCATTTCATAGTTGTCTAAAAGATGTAGACAGGTGATAGTGGATTCATCGATCTCTCAATAAATCAGTAGCCCCATCTATATAGAATTTCTAGTATAGAATTAATGGAGTGTCATTAAGACACCGTGACAACCTAATATTTTGCTCAGTAAACAAAACCACTTAAAAACATGCAGTTTCATGAGGTAGAATTGAGTACCTATGCAAATATATTACAAAAATGCCTGATAATTGCTTGCCTTATCCCTTCTTTTCATGGCTAATAAGGTCAATTTTAAACAAAGGTGGAAGACCTCCATAAGTATTTTTGTTTTTGTTACTTCTTTCTGCATCCTCTCCTTATGTCTATGTGAAGGCGTCTTCAACAACTTTAGGTAGCAGTATTCTCATGTCCTTTAAAATCTCTCCCTTGCTTCTAATAAAATTTTAAAAAGACTTGAAAATAGCCACTTACTCTGATGCAATGATATTCACAATAAAACTTTGCCTCAAAAATTTTTTTTTCTTAAAGCTCTGAGAGAGAAACAAAAGTCATTTTTTCCTCTTTAAAGGGGTTATGGGCTTTAGCGGATGGTGTGGAGCCATGTTTGAAAGTAGGACCATGGAAATCACAGCCTATCTCTACAGTTGGCTCTGAATGAAGGATTCTTGGTCCTGTGAGGATGTATTACTGGTGAGGGGTCATCCCATAGCGAAACTAGTGAGCATGCTGGAGGCCCAGTGCTGGAGGCAGGCCATGGACAGAGTGGCCTATATGCCTTTATCGGCAGCACCTTCTAGAAATCTACGCCTGCTGCCCATAGGTCTGCTTTTCCTTTCTAGGTTATCTCATTCTCTCTCCTTCCTACCCAGGTGCAGGCACGTCACTTTCCCTGTTGTCTGAACCACATGTTATATTAACACTGAATTACTTTGATCCCATTTCAGAATCCTTTAACTCCCTGCCTTTTACCCTCTGTTTGTTCTATTCTAAATCATCTCATGTATTTCTTGCAGATTCCTCTTCCTAAAACAGCATTATGCACATAACTTCCTTAGTGGCTTCTCATGCTTAAAGAGGATGGAGTTCAAACTCCACTATCTCCTATTCAAAACTCTTTCTAGCCTGGCCCCTGACTAGACAATTAAACTTGCCTTCTTAAAACTCCGACTCTACTTAAGCTACTTCTAAACACCATCATGCATATTTGAACACCATGTCTCTGCTCAAATTTTTTACTTTCTTGAAACTAGCCTTAAACCCCAATTCAATACAGGTTCCTATTAAGATTGCCCAGCCCTCAGAAGAGGTGAAGGGATTAAGAAGTACAAATTGTGGTGAAGGCCTGGGGTGGGCCGAGGGCAAACTAGAAGAGGTCAATGAGGAAAAAGGGGGGGGGGCAAATGTAACACTTTCAACAATAACGATTTTTTAAAAAGGAAGAATTGGCTGTTACAAAATAGCTATAGGGATGTCAAGTACAGCATAGGGGATATAGTCAATAATGCTGTGATAACTGTGTATGGGGACAGGTGGGTACTGGAAATATCAGGGGGAACTCTTTGTGAAGTGTGATTGTTGAACTGCTATGCTGTACACCTGAAGCCAATACAGACTGAAAGGGCAACTAATGGATTGGGAGAAAATATTTTTTCAAGTATATTTTATTAATTTTACAGAGAGGAAGGGGAGAGATAAGAGAGCCAGAAACATCGATGAGAGAACATCTATCTATCAGTCGCCTCCTGCAAACCTCCCTTCCCCCCCACTGAGGATGTACCTGCAACCAAGATACATGCCTTTGACCAGAATCGAACCTGGGATCCTTCAGTCCGCAGGCCGATGCTCTATCCACTGAGCCAAACTGGCCTCGGCTGGGAGAAAATATTTTTAAATTATATATCTGACTCAAGATTAATATCCAGAATACATAAAACTCCTAAAACTCAACAACAAAATAAGCAACTGATTTTAAAATTGGCAAAGAACTAACTAGACATTTCTCCAAAGAAGATATACAAATGGTAACAATCTCATGAAAAGATGCTCAACATCAGTAATCATTAGGGAAACGCAAATCAAAACCACAAGGAGATACTACCTCACACCCATTAGGATGGCAACTATGAAACAAGTTATCAGAAAGGATGTAGAAAAACCGGAAAACCTGTGCACTGCTGGTGGGAATGTATAATGGTGCAGCCACTATAGAAAATAGCATTGTAATTCTTTTAAAAAATTAAAAATATAATTTCCATACGATCCAGTAATTCTACTTCTGGGTATAAATCCAAAATAATTGAAATCAGGGTTTCAGAGAAATATTTGTATACCCATGTTCATAGCAGCATTATTCACAACAGCCAAAAGGCGGAAGAAACCCAAGTCTCCATTGAAGGATGGGTGGATAAACGAAATGCACTACATACATACAATGCAATGCTATTCATCCTTTAAAAGGGAGCATTTTCTGAGTGTGCCAGTGATGCCAGATGAGGAAAACTCAGCTGGCCTTGCTGGCTTTGAGGAGGATGGAGGAAGGGGACTATGAGCCAAGGAATCAGGTGGCCTCTGAAAGCTGGAGGAGGCAAGGGATTCTCCTCCAGAGCCTCCAGACAGAAACTAGCCCTGCCAACACCTTGATTTTAGCCTGGTAAGGTGTGAGTTAGACGTCTGGACGATAGAATTTTAAGATAATAAATCTCTGTTGTTATAATTTTTTTAATAAAATAAATGGGAGGAAATTCTAACACATGGTACAATATGGCTGAAGCTTAAGGTCATTATGCTAATTGAAACAAGTTAGTCAGAAAAAGACAAATACTATATATTTTACTAATATGAGTGAAAGACCTACAGCAGTCAAATTCAAAGACACAGGGTAGAGTGGTATATGCCAGGGCTGGTGGGGAGACTAGCAAATTATTACTTAATGGGTACAGAGCTTCAGTTGTACAAGATCAAGAGAGTTCTGGAGATTGGTTGCAAAACAGTATGAATGTACTTAACACTAGTTGAACCGCACACTTAAAAATGATGAAGATATTAAATTTAACATTATATGTATTTTACAATTTAAACATTTTAAATAAAAAACAAGAATAGTAAAGATAAAAAAAAATTAAGAGAAAAAGAATTCTTCCTAAAACTTGTTGTTATAACCCCCCTAGAGGTCCCAGATTGGAGAAGGTGCAGACCAGGCTGAGGGACACTTCTCCCTCCCACCCCCCGCCCCTGCACGAATTTCATGCACTGGGCCTCTAGTACCCTGATATTTCATATCAGAAAAGAATCCCCAGTGTACATTTATGCATGTATCAGTGCTCTGGTATATCAGATGCACTAGAAAATGTAATGTTATCACCTCTTTTAAAATGACTTCAAAAGACTTGGCCAAAAAATGATAATCTAATTGTCAGAAGAATGAAATATAACAATGGCCCATTTCAAAAATAAAGGTAGCCCTAAATGAAATGGTATTTGAACTGAGAAAACAAATGTTTAAAGCATGAGTAATCATGATGTTTCAGTGAAGAAATTGATTTATAGCAACAATTGAAACAAAAAAAATCAAGAAAACATTCAGGAGTTTCTCAGCTATAAAAGCAAAATAAAGTTGTAGGAAAATATTTTAAACAAAACTGCTAATTTGTAAATATTCTATTTCCATCAGTAACAAGCAAGTCCTGTTTACCTATGAGTTGCTGAATTGTCCCCTTTTCGCAAAGATCCTGATTCACAGTCTCATCCTCAAGATGGACCATAGCTCTCAGGAGTCTTAAAGAGTAACGCAAGTGCGCAAATTTGTTGCCGCGGCCGCCTGTGCCGTGAAAACTGTTACCGTGACTGAAGAAGCATTCTGTGGAGAAATACTAATGATTCACTTTACATCAAGAAATTTAAAACATGAAACTTCAAATAGACCAAACAACGTATCAGACATCTATCTATAAGTTTACAAATTCTGTTTTTTGCAGAAATAAATATGCCTTCCCTCTTCTCCTCCTATTCCCAGAATAGGAATCTGTATCTCTTTGTAACTAGCTCCTATTACTCAACATTGTTTTAGAAATTATTCAAAGTGTCAAAAGTGGATCTAGATTATTCATTTTAATTGCTTTTAGCATTCATTTTATAAATAAACCAGTTTTCCATTTCCTAGTACAAACTGCTAAAATGAATATTCTTACTCCCACTGAGAAGAGTTTTGTCATGTAGAGTATGCCTCCAGTGAATTTTACTGAAGCTTCCAAATTGTTCCCCAAAGTGGTTATACAGATGTAATGTATAAGACTAATAGATTCTTCCCAATTTGTTAAATGTGAAGTGGGAATTCATTATTATATTAATTTGCATTTCTCTGATTAACAATGGAGTTAAGTGCCTAATAATGTTGTGTTTTTGAAAATTTGACATTTTCTCTGTCACCTGGCAGTCTCTATTCTTGATTTTTTCACGGAGTTATTTTATTTTTTATATGTAGGAGTTCTTTATGAACCTGGACTCTAACCCTTTATTAGTCACAGGGGTAGTAAATGTCTTCTCTCGTTTGTAGATTGCTCCCCTGATTTGTCATAGACATTTTATGTGTCAGTCTTCTCCTGTATAGTTTAAACACTCTTCTGGTTTTCCAGAGCTTTTCTACTCTGTTATCATATTTTCCCATGTTTTCTCCTAAGATTTTTACAGTTTAACTTCTCATATTTAGGGCTTTAATTCATTTTGAAATTGATTTTTTTTTTAACATGGTGATAGGATCTAACTTTTATTTTTCCCCATGGAGGGCTAACTGCCCTAGCACCATCCTTCCCTCTATGATTGGCAGTGTCATCTCTGATAAAGCCAACCTCCCGTATATTCCATTCCATTGATCTATTCCTGGTCTAGTACCACACAATTTTAATTACTATAGCTTTATGGTAGGTCTTAATAGCAAGGCAAGTCCTTTTTTCTTTATAACACGCATTCTTCAAAAGGTTGGAGTGGGAATTGAGCATACAACTGACGTCCATAATGGAAGCCAGGGCCCTTCAGTGTGAGGGCTGATGTTCTATCCATTGAGCCAAACCAGCGAGGGCTTGACAGGAATGGTTATGGGCCACTCACCTTCACTTTCACACCATTCTAGAAAAGCCAGGATCCGAGCATTTCCCTGGCACAACATATACTCTTCTATTAATAAAGGAGCCACTGTTGATAAAGTGGCAAGTGCATGCAGTTGTAATTCTTCATACTGTGCTGCAGACCACTCAATTATTTTGTGCTTCTCGGGCTTTTTTACATAGGTAAACAAAGCCAAAACAACTTTGCCATCAACTAATAGCTATGAAAAAGGCAAAAAGTACTTTGTTAGAAATTTAATTAAAATCATTTTATTTATTTAATCTAAGAAAGTTAAATAAAAGATTTCCTCTTTGGTGATTTATTGATAATCATTTCAAACATTTCCTTCCTAAAGATCTCAACGTATGGTAATTACCCCAAACATAAAAATAAAAAAACCCAAACCAAACTCAACAATACACAGTTGGCTCTGATCTCCAACTCAATTCCCACTCCAACCAATCGATGTTTGTCTCTCTCGCTGTCTTTTCACCTCCCTTCCACTCTTTACATCTATCATTTTAATAGTTATATAATATTCCACTATAATAAACCATATTTTGTTGAATATTTTCTATCTGGCACTTAAGAAAATACACTTAAGTTATATATATACACACATATATATATTTGATATAATAATAAAGTTGTAACCATAAATATATTTTTTCTTTTCTGAGCATTTTTTAATATATATATTCCTCAAAGTGGCATGACCAAGAACATTCTGAGCTCTTTTAACCATCATAATAATCCCCTGTGGTAGGTGTTACACCCAATCTGAAGTAGAGATATGTGGGATTTAGAAAAACTAAACCTGCTAGTATTCAAGATCACATAGCTAGGAAGTGACAGCACTGGATTCCATCTGACAGGAGCCTTAACCTCTATGCAAACCGCTTTTATATTATCATTCAAGATGCTGACAGAGTAATTCCCAGTTCTTTTTCATGGTAACTCCTTGGAGATTGAATAAGTTTTAGGACTAAAATGAAATTTCACTTAACGTGGGAAATAACTAAACTAATGGGGATGTAAGCAGTACATTTTTTTTTTTCCTGCCTCTTTAGTTTTTGAAGCCTTCAACTTAATCTCATGAATTAATCTCATAACAGCCTTGTAAGCAGGGCAGGAGTTTCATAATCTTCCTTTTATAGAAGGAGGGACTGAGCCTCAGAAAGTATAGGTGATTTTGCCAAGACCACATAGCTAGTAGGTGACAAAACAGAAGTAAAATTCAGCCCCAGTGTTCTTCAAATTATATCATGCTGTTATGTAGGTTATAAAGTATTAAGACAAATTCATGGATAATAATAATAATTTAAAAAAAAAACAACAACGTAAAGACAGTAGGTTGGTATGGAGAAGGGCAGTTTAAAAAGATTTGAAATTGGCAGCAGATGTTAGCATGCCTCCAGTACTGTGGTCGGTAAACTGCGGCTCTTTGGCCCCTTGAGTGTGGCTCTTCCACAAAATACCACGACCTGGGCAAGTCTATTTTGAAGAAGTGGCGTTAGAAGTTTAAAAAATTTGGCTCTCAAAAGAAATTTCAATCGTTGTACTGTTGATAGTTGGCTCTATTGACTAATGAGTTTGCCGACCATGCTCCAGCAGAACCAACCCTTTTTGCTAAGGTCAGAGAGAGACTATTGTTGCTATAGTCAGAGAGAGACTATTTTGCTAGATGGGCCTATGTGAATCTTCTTTCGTTTTATGTTCTCTTATTGAGGGGATCTAAACGTGTAAATAAATCTCTAAGTTTCTCCTGTTTTTCTTTGGTTTATGTGATCTACGTTTAGGTAAGTTCACTGTTTATTTACTGATAATCAAAGGAAATTTTGAAAAGGTGAAACTCTAAAAAAAAAAAAAAAAAAAAAAAGGTGAAACTCTAGCCAATAAGAGTTTGTTACTTTCTATGGTAAACATTTTGGTTGATAAAAGATTTTTAGCCATGACTTTTAAAAAGTTATACTACAAGGTGAGTTGCTTTTAATATTTGTCTTAATTATGCTTTACCTGTATTGTAGTCAAATCTTTACATAAGATCACAAGTATATTGAACAGCAATTTCTTCAACTCAAAATCTTCATAGGAATTAGAAAGCTTAAGACCTTTCACCAAAGGATTTTCACTTTTAACTGTGTGTGTGGGGGAAACAGAAACAGTAAAATAAAAGCTAAAATGATATAGTAGATTCATCAAGATAATTGTAGGTTGAAAGTTTTATGGTTTTTACCTTCATTAAAGGTTGCAAATAGTATCAAATCCCTGGTAAAGCCACATTCCTAATACAGATACATAAAACAAACAGAGTGGAAAGTAAGTTACAGATGCCCATATTTATCTAATATTCAAGTATCTTTACTAGATTTCCCTTATTTATTTGATTGAGCCTGAAACCCGGGCATATGCCCTGACCAGGAATCCAACCATGATCTCCTGATTCATAGGTCAATACTCAACCACTGAACCATGCTGGCCAGGCAAAAGTAGTTTTTTTCAATAGTTTTCCTTCTTAACAACCCTGCTCCCACCCTAGCCCCAACTACTGTCATTACATCAAAGGTTTAGGCAAAAGATAACGAAACAGCTCCTACTTACCATGAAAAACCCTGAAGAGTGACCAGAATTGCAAGCGTTTCACTGTGAGGGAACTCATTCCTGACAGATACCCTGATTGGACTTTGTCAGGTAGCATTTATAAGGGCAAACCCTGGACTTTTGAGCTTTCAGTTTTACATACCCTACCCATTTAGGCCCAATACCAGGTTTCTATATAAATTATAGAAAGAAACCAAAAGGAAATTTTAAAACTGATAAAGATAACATCCTATCTAATAAAAGAGTAATATTCAAATTGACCATCATTCCAACACATAAGATGGCTGCCCTGGGATTGGGCCTAAATGGGCAGTTGGACATCCCTCTCACAATCAAGGACTGCTGGCTCCCAACTGCTTGCCTTGCTGGCCTTCCTGTTTGTCCCTAACCCCTTCTGCCTACCAGCCTGATTACCCCCTAACCACTCCCCTGCCAGCCTGATTGCCCCTAAATGCCCTCCCCTGCAGGCCTTGTCACCCTTAACTGCCCTGCTCTGAGATTTTCAGATAAAAATAATACACAAAACAAAACTAAGAGAGTATGTTGCCAGCAGCCAGCATTACAAGAAATAGAACATCAAGTTGTTCAGGTAAGAGAGAAATAACAGCAGCTAAAAACTCATATCAGGAAGGAAAGAAACACATTATACATGGTAAATATGTGAATAAATTATAAAATAAGAACACCTCAAGTGTGTGACTATACTGGTGACCAATCTGACATTACCACAGAACTTGGCATTACAACAAAGTACATAAATATTATGACATAGTTTACTGCTCCCTCCCCACACTCCCACCCCCATCCACAATCTAAATTAATACAATTCACTCCTACTTACAATCATAGGTGCTTCAGGATTTTGAGATATAATTGTAGTGATCACTAATATATCATTTCTAAGCTGACGATCATAATCACTAAAACCTCTTGTAAACAGATGTTTAAAAACTTCCTTTAAAGATCTGGAAAGTAAAATCATACTTTTAAAACCACATTCTTATGGAAATATTACTTATGTGTCTATCAACAAAATCTTCTTTTTATATTATTCATTGCAAAGCATTTCTAGTCTTTTCTATATTTCCAAATCTGCCTTTAATACTAAGTTCCAAAGTATTTCTGATGAACAAAACTGAAGCTGCCCAGAGGGGTCTGGATCACTGAGGTGAGCACAGATGCCTCTGACTGCATATGTTTTCATCATTAAAGTACAATTAACTTCTGAAAATAAATGAAAATAAAAATAATTTATGCCGAAACCGGTTTGGCTCAGTGGATAGAGCGTCGGTCTGCAGACTGAAAGGTCCCGGATTCGATTCTGGTCAAGGGCATGTACCCTGGTTGCGGGCCCATCCCCGATGGGGGATGTGCAGGAGGCAGCTGGTCAATGTTTCTCTGTCATCGATGTTTCTAACTCTCTATCCCTCTTCCTTCCTCTCTGCGGAAAATCAATAAAATATATTTTAAAAAAATTTTGTTACAGTCTTAACATTAGGTAGAAACAAAATTAATGGAGAATAAAGTGTTCATATTTAATAATATACAAACCAGTAGTGAGAATCCATCAATCCAATCTATACATGGTGATCAAAATTAAGAGTCAATTACTTCAGTTTCCTTTTTAAACGTACTTAAAAGGCTTTTCTTTGTTCTTAGGATAAAGTCCTACCTTGTTACCAAGGCTTAGCAGGCCTTTCAGGTTATGGTCCCTGCTAACATTGTTAGCTTCATCTCTCACTATTTTACGTTAAACTTTCTGCTCTCATCCATATTGAATTTCTTTTAGTTTTTTTTATTTTGCTAAATTCTATTTTCACTTCTGTTCTCTTGTCTAGGATGCTCTCTGCATGCAGAACTCTCCTGTGTTGCCAATTTGTATTAATTATCCAGATACCAGGCTAGGGTTCATGAGGAAGCATTCAGTAACTCTCCGAGTCTGGGTCAGGTTCCCTGTACAAAGCACAGCAAATTGCTTCCTAGGACCACTTACTCTTCTTGTGATAACAGTGCTCTTATTTTTACTTAGGCTTCAGTCTTTCCTCAGTTTTGGTCTTGTGAGCAGCCTTCAGCTTCCTTTTAGCCAAAGAGCATTCTTTCTCTTTGTCACTAGTAATTCCCTCTGGAATGTGAATTTGGTCCATAGGGGCTCAATTCCAAGATTTTCTTTCTGCTTTCCGAAGAGCACACTTTCTCTCCTGCTGATTTGCGGTTATGACTCTGGTCTCCCCAGGTAGAGCTTGTGAATAAAGCCAACACAGTGGAAGACAGGGCAGAGAGATGAAGGCCCAAGCACTGCTATTTGCCGAGCTTTGAATACAGCTGCACACGAGGCCAGTTTTACCCTTGATTTTTAGTTATAATAACTCATAAATTTCTTACAATTGCTTCAATCAGTTGGGTTGTATGTTCAGTCACTTGCAAACAAAAATGTACTGACTCACCCTCTCCTGGAAAACACCTTACAATAATGTCTTCCATAGCATTTAGTAGGCTCGCAATGAGTTGCTATTTAATTGTCTGTCTCTCCTAACATAACAAATTCCATGAAAGCAGAGTCCATGTCTGTATTGTTTTCAATTGTCTTTCTATGGCCTACTACTGAACTTGGCACAGAGCAAACAATAATTACTTAATAAATAAATGAATGAGTAACTCACAGGCTTACTCTTATTTTTGCTAATGTTTATTCAGAAATTAGAAGACAATATTCAAAAATACACTTATTGAATGAACAAATGAAATAGTTCTTTTAAATGTCTAATTTTACTTTATACCTATTCAAAGGCATAATTTAGTTCTTTATATTCTAGCTACTTTAAATTCCTTCCACGTAAGAAAAAAAAAAAAAAGCTTGCTATGTGCAGATGCATTTATACAACGGCACAAAAGAAATGTCCTGCAACATAGCCATTACCTGAATCAAAGCCCAAAGAAACACAAATTCAAACAAAAATGTTATGTCACAAGGTTAAAAAACATTCCTAGCTAACCACATATACTTACACCAAACACTCCAAGTTACTAAGTTGTTTTATGATTTCTTCTTTTGACGATTTTTCTAGTAAGTTCCAGAGTATTTCTGATGAACGAAACAGAAGCTGCCCAGAGGGGTCTGGGTCATTGAGGTGAGCACAGATGCCTCTGGCTGCATAAGCTCTCATCATTAGAGTACAATTAACTTCTGAAAATAAGTGTAAATAAAAATAATTTATGTTACAGTCTTGACATTAGGTAGAAACAAAATTAGTGGAGAATGAAGTGTTCATATTTAATAATATACAAACCAGAAGTTGAGAGATGTTGCAGAGCTTTAAGGACCCAAAGTTTCTCAACAAGTTGATTTTCAAGCAAGTCCAATGACTGAACCATTGTTTCTGCCAATCCTCCAACTTCAGCCATTTGAATCTTATATGTTGGGCTAGCTTGCTGGTAACCTAAAAACAATTAGTTAATAAACATGTGCAGTCATTTCACATAGTATCATCTATATTAAGATAAAGGAATGAATAATTTATCAATAACCAACAACAAAATATATAAAAAGTGTATGGCATTTTAAAATGGTTAGCAGAGGGACAGGCAAACTTTTTCTATAAAAGGCCAGCAATTTTAGACCTTGTGGTCCTAAAGTTACTGTTGCAAATACTCAACTCTGCTACCATACTATGAAAACAGGCATAAAGAATATAAAAATAAGTGGGCATAGCTGTGTTCCAATAAAACTTTATGTATAGTGGGCCCTTTTGGCCTGTGGTCCATAGCTTGTTGATCCCACAAATTTGGGGGCATATCTTAAATTCTGAAAAGGAACAATATTTTTTATTTGTTAGTAGACAGATCTTTCCATAAAGAAAAATGTTATGATTACGAACACTGAACGTTTTCACTGTTCAAGTCAATGCATTACTTCAGTGCTTTCAAGAACCAGCAATTATGTGATGATGGCAATGAAATAAGAGGTAAAATGTAATGCAGTTCTGATAGATGCTAATGAATATAATATTAGGGAAGTCTGATTCTTGGTGATATGTCTCATAAGCATTTCCTTCTCCTTTAGTTTTCATGAGAAATACTACCTCTCCTTTTTGACATGTGACGAGATTAAATGAACATCAGTGTATGTTTGCTCACCTGAGATGCAGCCACTTTCTCTCTCAGTGATATAATTCACCTACCCCCCTTACTTCTTGACTTTTGAGAGCAACTAGACTTCTTGCCGTAATTCTGGATGTCTGTTTGTCTTATCTTTCTGAATTTGAGGCCTGACCCTGTTCAAGACCGTCCCTTCCTGTGATGGGTCTGGCACTTAAAACATATGAAGAGGAAAACAAAACTGCCTATAATTTCACCATCCAGAGATAACAATATTAACACTTTGGTATATTTTCTTTTAAAATATATTTTATTGATTTTTTACAGAGAGGAAGAGAAAGGTATACCTTGGTTGCGGGCATCTCCCCAGTAGGGGGTGTGCAAGAGGCAGCTGTTCGATGACTCTCTCTCATCGATGTTTCTAACTCTCTATATCTCTCCCTTCCTCTCTGTACAAAATCAATAAAATATATTTTAAAAAAATAACCAAAGAGCTTGAAACTATCAAAAAAAATTTGTTTTTGATATAATGCAGCTATGATCCCACTCTCTTCCCAAGTTCAAATAGAAATGGGACAGAATATTCTGTTTTATAAAGATATTAGAGGCCTAGTGAATGAAATTTATGCACTCAGGGGGTCCCTCAGCCCACTCTGCACCCTCTCATAGTCTGTTACCACCACTGCACTCACCAGCCATGAGCCTGACTTCTGGCTGAGCGGTGCTCCCCTTGTGGGAGCACACTGACCACCAGGGGGCAGCCCCTGTGCTGAGCATCTGCCCCTAGTGCTCAGTGCATATCATAGTGACTGATCATTCCACCATTTGTTGATTTGCATATTAGCCTTTTATTATATAGGACTTGAGGCCTGGTGCATAAAATTTGTGTCCCTGAGCTCAACCTACACCCTCTGCAATCTGGGACCCCTAGAGGGCAGTTGGACCCCTAAATGGGCAGACGGACATCCCTTTCACCATCCAGGACTGCTGGCTCCCAATTACTTGTCTGCCTGCCTATCTCATTACCCCCAACCGCTTCTGCCTGCCAACCTGATCACCTCCTAACCACTCCCCTGCCAGCCTGATTGATGCTTAACTACTCCCCTGCCAGCCCAATTGCCCCTAACTGCTCTCCTCTGCTGGCCTGGTCCCTTCAAACTGCCCTCCCCTGCCGACCCTGCCGACCCTAACTGCCCTTCCCTAATACCTCATTGCCTCTAACTGCCCTCCCCGCTGATCTGGTCCCTCCCCAACTGCCCACCCCTGCAGGCCTGGGTCCCCCCAAACTGCCCTCCCCTGCTGGCCTGGTTACTCCTAACTGCTCTGCCCTGCAGGCTTAGTCTTCCCCACCACTCACCCTCCACTGCTCTCCCTTGCAGGCTTGGGTCCCACCCAACTGTCCTCCCCTGCTGGCCATCTTGTGGTGGCCATCTAGTGTCCACATGGGGCAGTCATCTTTGACCACATGGGGGCAGCCACCTTGGGTTGGAGTGATGGTCAATTTGCATATTACTCTTTTATTAGATAGGATGTTATTACTGAAAGACCATTGAAAATTTCACCTGCAATATGCTTCTTTGGTGGTTCTGCATGATAAAAGTCAACAATACACCTACAAATTTGTATCCTCAATTCAGAACTTGGTATTTTCATTAAATTACCTGCCAGAAAGATAAATGAATACTATTTAATAACACTGTCATAGCTTATTTGCAAATTTAAGCATAAAGTGTTAATAATATGATTTTTAAAAATATCCTCATCAGAAAATCAATATAGTATTGTTTATAATAGCTAGGACTTGGAAGCAGCCCAAGTGCTCTTAAGTAAATGAGTGGATAAAAAAGCCATGGTACATTTACACAATGGAATACTACTCAGTCAGAAAAAAGAATGAAATTTTACCATTTGCAACAGCATGGGTGGACCTGGAGAATAATATGCTAAGTGAAATAAGCCAGAGAAAGGTAAGTACCCTATGATTTCACTCATATATGGAATCTAATCTACACTAATAAAAAAGAAAAATGCTAATTGACCGTACCTTCGCTATGCCCACAGTCAATCAGAGTGAGTATGCAAATTAACCCAACAAGATGGAAGTTAATTTGCATATGCAGGCAGGAGCGGTGTGAAGCCTGCTATGAGGGGAAGGGGGCCATCAGAGGGAGCTACTGGAGTGCTGGCTCTGGGCATCTTAGGAGCGGGGACAGGCTGGCTCCCAGGCAGCTGGGAGTGAAGCCAGGGGCCTATTCTTGCACGAATATTGCACAATGGGCGTCTAGTGAGCAATATAAAGAGAGCTCATTTTAAACTGATTTCATATTGCCCTCAAGTGGGACAGGAGTGTGTTCTGTAGGTGGGCAGTCAGCCAGCAAAGAGCAAATTGACACAGTAAGAAATAGGCCTTGTATTTATCATACAAATGTATGCCAACGCTCTTGGAGGCAACATTTAAAAATAATAAGGGCAATAGTGGCATTTTTAAAATGTTACCTACACTTTTTATCTGTTTATACTGTGTCTCCTTTTGGGTTGGCTTCCTATTGTAAATTTCACCATTCAAGTTTCCCATTAGTTTTCAGCCCACCTGCTCCTTAAGGTCACCTTATCTAACTCCTCATGTGTATCCTAATTTCTTTGATATTTCACCTATTCTAGGGCATATTTTTCTCCAAAATATCTCTGATTAGGAACTATAAAACATATTTTGACCTAAAAGTGTTAGTGTCTATGTTAAAAGTTAAAAATGTCTTTTACTTATTCCAGTTGAGTCTCTCTCATCTTTCAGTAAGAAATAAAATACTGGGAACATAACAGTTCAGTAAATACTTATTTTTCATTTGCTGGGCAATTCTGTGCCTTTTGGTTCCCTTATATAAACAAGGAACTAAATTAATAAGTATAAATTTAATGTAGGAATTGTTTTGGGAACATGCTGTCATGTACTCAAGGGCTGAATCAAGAAGCTAGTGTTTGACTGGTTTTATTTCCCAGAAAATTATTTTCTTTCTTTAGAAAAATCAAGCAATAATCACAAAGCAAAGCCTGCTGTTTTATGTTTTTCATATTTTGAATAGAAAACACAGATACCTTCATGTTTATGTATATTACGCTAAAGTTCTTAATGTTCTATCATTTTATGATTAGGTTGTTTCATGAACAATTTTGTTTTCAATGGTTCTAGTAATTATTAGCGTTCAAAGTTGAAAACATTTTTGGGATTACTGAGAGGGACACATACTTCTAATTTACAAAAAAAGTTAATAAATATTTAATCGCACTAAATAACATCAAGACAAATAAGTACACAGAAATATCTGCCAGTCCTTGTATTTAAGGAACATAGAGTCTTGTTGGTATCATAAAAGACTCGAGGAAAAAACAATACAAAAATTATCACCAAGCACACTATGATTAATTTTCAATTAGAAAACAAGAGCCTAGCTTTGGAGAAGGATTCTTAGTCAAATTTAGTGCAAGAGACATTTCTTTCTTATCAATCAGGCCTGACATATTATAATCCTCTATCTCAAAAAGAATCTTAACTTACCCAGAAGCGCAATTGACTTAGCAGTATCTTCAGCATATGTTATTTCATCTGATACTTTCTTTTTCAAAAATGGTAAGCTTCAATAAGAATAAAGAAGGTACAAGTTATGTTTCATAAAGCCCTTAATTGAACAAGGACAAACTATGAAAAGGAAAATTTTATAACTCCACAGAAGTTTTTTTCAAGCGTTTGTTAAAATTTGAAACAAATAACATATTAAACTCGAAAAACTGGTCAATACTTCTTCTTCAAACTTTTTCCTTTGCTCCCAAAGGAAACAACCTAAAGGATAAAGCATCAGAAGAGTTCTCCACCAAAATGGGCATGAAAAAAGATAAGCGTTATGAGCAAAAGGATGCAAAAAGAAAAGCACACTACTCACAGGCCCAAGCTGAAAGGCCGTATTTTACTTTCAATGTTTTCATCTCCCAAAAATATCTTGAAAAGTGAACGTGGTGATGATGAGGTGTGGAGAAATGCAGGACAAAAGCAAAAATTAGGAAAATATGGGGGGGGGGGGAAAGGGGAAATAAAATAATGAGAACAATTATGAAATGTGAGGGGAAAAAAAGAGTATAAATAAAAAGATTTATCATATTACATAATAAAACACTTAGTCACAGCTCTCATAGAGAGCAAGTCCTTGGCGGAGCTCTGTAGGGGAACTAATGTTGAAGTCATACTTATGAACCTGGCTTTCTAGGACTTGCACAGCCTCAAAATTTGAAAACATTTTATATATATGATCTCATATTGGTATCATAATTGCCAATTTGTATATTAAAGAAGCACCAGAGTGACTCTTTAGGTGTTTATTTTTCATGGTCTCTATGAAAAAGGAAGGCATGATAAAGACATTCAATAAATAAATTATTTTTGATTATTTTGTTCAGATATCAAAAATTAAATGTAATTATAAAAGTTTAAATATTATTGTTGCTAAATATAAAAATGTGAGTTAAAGCCTACTAGGTATACAGTCTCACTAATATCATATTTACATATTAAAAGAAACACAGTATTTAAAAAGCTAAATTGGTGAAGTTTCAAAGGTAAAATTGTCAGGAAGGTTTATTTCTACTTTAAGATATCTCCTCTACTATATTTTATTGAAAACTATAAACAGATATTTTAATGTGTATCTTGATTAGCCACTATGTGGCAGAAAGGAAGCAAAATATACTCCTAGTTCCCTGAAACGGTTGGAGAAACAACAGATGATTTCGTAGATCAATTTTATAATTCTGGCCTCTAATTACATTAAAAACATATATCAAAAATAATTGTTGACATTTTATTCTTTATTCAAATTTGGAAAATCAATTAAACATGAATCAGAACCTAATACATCTTTAAGAGTCAAATTTTCTAAAGAGAGAAGAAAACTGGGCTAAAACTATTAAGCATTGTCTATAAATTGTCTCAAGGATTTTCTAAAGATATTACAATTTGTTGGTCTTATCTCAGGTTTATCATTACGGTGAGATGAAAAATTTTTAAACTATATTTGCAGTTTAATCTCCAGTAGCAAGTGATCTTAGATTATAATAAAATTGACTACCTTTGAAATACTAACTGCTGATAAGTGATCAAGTGAAGTTTTCTGAGTTCTGCATCACTTTGCTACATCATAATGCATCATATCTTTTATAATGCAAAATAAAACATAATAAAATGCTGCATGCTAATATAAAATAAAGTTAAAGAAAAACAACTTACCCGAATAATTTTATGATATTATATGTAGGTTCTAGAAAAGCAGGCTGTTTTTTAATTTTTTCTGCACACATATTCAGAATTTTAAATACCTGTGCCAAATCCCTTAGGGGCTTTAATATTTTTAGTTAAGAAATAAAATTAAGATTCATATATTTATATTTATTAACATATTCTTTATAAAACTTGTGCCAAGAAAATCTAAGAATTCCTATAATGTTAAATATGGTTGACATTTTAAAAAATATTTTTATTGATATTTTATTTTTTTAGAGAGAGGGATACAGAGATATAAACATTGATGAGAGAGAAACATCTCTGACTGGCTGCCTCCTGCATGCCCCCAACTGAGGATCAAGCTCCCAACCCAAGCATGTGCCCTGACTGGGAATCAAACCATGATCCCTTGGTTCCTAAGTCAATGTTCAACCACTCAGCAACACTGGCTGGGCAACATTATTTTAATTATACTAATTTGAAAGACTAAAGTTAGAACCATATTTTTAAAGAAATATTATTTAATTTTTGTCTCAGTGACCTTTTACTTCAAAATATTTTTTTCTCCTCTCGCGACCGCTTTAGAATTTGATTACCAACTACTCCACTGCGAATTCAGTTGAAAAAAATTAACTTAATGGCTCAATCAGATCCTTCATCTCCACTCACTCACAGTAAACATTAACTGCTCCAGAATAAGAAACCCAAACTACCTTACTTTTCTGCATCACTTTATTAATATTACTGAGATGCATTCTATTGTTTTTAAGTTTAAATTGGTTGAGATCTTATTTCATTTAAACCTAGTATGAAACCAAAATGTACTACCTATAGATCTTCAGGTAAAAACACCCTTTATATTACCCGAACTGGTACATAAACAGATTTCATAGATTTTGTAGCAAGGTGACTACAGAAAGTGAGAGTATCCTGTGGCAAAATTATTATATATATGCAAAGATTAAAACAACAGCAGCTACCCAACAACAAATTAAGTTCTTAGGCATTAGTTTTGAGATACATGAGTTCCCACATATTCTGATCAGGGTGGCATATGCAGTGAGGATACTATCTCATGTCTATATAATGTTTTGCAGATTATCAAGCACTTGCATCTTTTCTCATTTAGTCTTCCTAACAACTTTCATGAGATGCTGTTTCATGCTATGCCTATAGTTTGATAAGCTCATTAATAGTGGAAGTACTCAAGTAAATTGGTAGAAATAAGACTGATGTGGCCCTCCTAACCTTATCCTGTGTCTCTTTGTGTCTTTAGAACTGCCATTATCTATGTAAAGTTAACAGTATTGTACTGTTTTCAATTTGACATTTTCTGACAAAAGAAAAATATAATTTTGTAAAAAAAACACAAAATGTTAGCTATTTTGTGTGGTAGACAGAATGGCCTGTCCAGAGATGTCCATATCCTAATGCCCAGAACTTGTGAAGTTACCTTATAAGGCAAAGGGACTTTTCAGTGATTAAGTTAAAAATCTCGAGATGAGAAAGTTATCTGAGATTATTCAGATAGACCAATGTAACCACAGGATCCTTATAAGGGAAAGAGAGAGGCAGCAGAGAATCAGAGAAGGAAATGCGATGACAGAAGCAGAGGCGAGAATGATGATAACTTTGAGGAAGGGGCCAGGAGCTGAGGAATGCAGGCCACCTCTAGAAGCTGGAGAAGCAAGGAAGTGAGTTGTCCTTCGAGCCTTCAAAAAGAACCAGCCTTGCTACACCTTACCTTTAGCTCAGTGAGGCAGATTTTGGACTTCTGGCCTCCAGAAGTATCAGACAAAAATGTTGTTGTTTTTTTTTTTTAAGATACCCTGTGATAATTTATATTAGCAATAGGAAATGAATACATCTTCTAATAAAAATTCTCCCATTTCAGGATAAATGGAGTAAGCATACATATATAAGTAAAGGATACAAATCCATTCTGATAATACTGCACCAATGTCTTGACAGATTTAAGTTGTTCTTCTAAATAATCCTAAAACAAATGATTTGCTTTAGTTCTTTTATGTGATATAATTTTCTTATTAATATAAAAAGAAAGTAGACATTAGAATTATAATAAATTATCCATTAAAATGATAATTCAATTACTGTATTACAATATAGGTACAATAAGATGTTTCCTGAAACATACCATTTAAATTTGATTAGGAAATTGAAAATTAAAACTAGATTACTGTAAGAGCAGTAATTGTTTCCAGAAATAATATGAAGGACATCGGAAGCATGTTGAGCAATTTTTCTGTGCCAGGCACCATTTAGGAACCATACATGCATGCCAATCTTCAAATCAACCCAATTAGGAAAATACTATTATTATTCCTGTCCTCCAGAATAAAAACCTCAAGCTGAAACACTAAGCGAATTGTCCAAAATCAGACAGATAATAAGTGGTGGTGTTAGGACTCAAATTTGGCAACCTGACTCCAGAAATTGTAACTTTAACCTCTAAAATATGCCCAGTGTACTGGTACAAACCAATAGCTTCAGCCAATTAAAACAAAACAAAACAAAACAAAACCCTCTACAGTGATATCTTTTCACGACTGAATCACTTCTGCCCTTTTAATCTTTAAATTGTTCATAAGAAGCTGTGGCATTTTTTATACTGAGTCCCCTTTTTTTTTGTCTATAAATAACAAATAGTAGGAGCAACATGCAATTGAATTTTCTTTTATAAAAATGCACATATATTTACAATTAAAAATGACTTCCACCACAAACATAGCCAGGAAAAGATAAATTCTTATGGAGTCATTTTTATTGTATTTTTTCTTCTATATAAAAATGCAGAGACTAAAAAAAATGTTAAAACAGTGATTAAATTTTGGTGCCTACTAATCACAGGACATTGTTTCATCTGATTGGCTCTACCATGGTCACTTTCCAATTACTAAGAGCATGCAATCTTGTAGTAATTTCATAGTGTGTGCTGGCTTTCAGGCAGTTAGTCAGTTCTTGGGTAATGTCAGGAGAGTGTGGTATGTGAGCATATATGCATATGTATTTATGATCCTTTTTTCCTAATGCTTGAGCTCTCAATTTTGAGTTTTACCTAAAATAATTTCATTTCCATTACAGTCTATATAATATTTTTCTCAAAATAAACTCCCTATGAGTATTACGAGTATGTATCTCTAACCTGATTTCATATCAGAAAAACTTAAGTAGTACATCATGATACGCTTTTTCTGTCCTTGCTCCCCACATCATGCATGGTAACAAGCAAATACAGAGGCTAGATGAGTCTTTCTCTACTCTTATTATTCCTCCTGTTTATATTTACCATGGATTTGTTCATTCCACAAAACCAAATGTAGTCACCTCCTCCATCTTCCTTACCAGATTAAATATATTCATACTAAATGTAAACAGTCCTTGAATATTTGAAATGGTTTCAAGAGGAGAGAAATGATATTTATGTTGGGGGGAACACATGTTACCTTTCAGGGGAATCACAGTTTATAAATGATATAGCAGAAAAGTTATCTCAAAGCTTACGTGAGCGGTCTCTTCAAGGACTTTGATGATACTATGTAGGTCCATAGGCTTTAAAGCACCCTAAAAAAATACAACTCTTATTATTCTATATCATGAGAATCAAGAAGTTACATCAAACATACTATTTTCATGATATTATTTATCTCTTGGGAACTCAAAAATATCTTATGACAAAGAGATAGTGAGGAAAGAATGAGTAGCAGATGAGACCTTTTAGGAGTAAAAAAATCTTGGTGTTTAAAAAACACAAACCTCTTGAATTCTATTATCATTTATAATGTTAATGACTAAATTTCACTTGTTCCAAGAGGCCCAAAAGAGCATCTGGAATAATAGCACTTCCACATATTTCTTCATCATACATGTTATACACCTCATGCAGACACAGCCCATTGAGTGTGCCTACAGAGATACACATAAGACTAAGTTCTAACCTGGAGGTAGGAGGTTGCCTTTCTGAGCTAGGTGTTCCCTCTCAGGTGGTCCCAGCATTCTCACGGTCATCCACATGGGAAAACAGAAACCTCCAAGTTCTACAGCTTTTACGTCTTAAATATTTCTCGAGCCCATTTCCTCTTATTGATTATTTGGTTCTCATCTCTCACTCAATTACTTTCTTAATGTTCTCCCTGCCTCCACTACTCTTGTACTTCCAACATCCTCCTCCACCCTATGGTAAAAATAATAAAACTCAGATCTGAGCACAACCAGTCTGAATCATTCAGTGACTCTCTATGAACACCCCTTTCCCCCTCCTCTGTTTTCAATTATATTGTTACCCTCCTATTCCTCTCCTTGGTTAACCCCCATAGAGTGATCCTTCAAGCTACAGCTCAGGAGTCACCTCCCCAAGGGATGAAAAAGGGTAGAGCATCAGAAAGGATATATGCACCCCTATGTTCATAGCAGCACAATCTACAATAGCTAGGATTTGGAAACAGCCTAGGTGCCCGTCAGCAGATGATTGGATCAAAAAACTATGGTACATTTACACAATGGAATACTATGCTGCCATAAAAAAGGAATTCTCATCATTTGCAGCAACCTGGATAGAACTGGAGAACATCATGCTGAGTGAAATAAGCCAGTCAATGAAAGAGAAACACCACATGACCTCACTCATTTATGGATAATAAAGAGCATCATAAACTGATGAACCAAAAGATATAGAGACAGTAAAGCAACAAGCAGACTGTCAAATTACAGCAGGGAGGGGAGGGAGATCTGGGGGAGATAAGAGATCAACCGAAGGACTTGTATGCATGCATATAAGTACAACCAACGGACACAAAACTCTGGGGAGGGAGGGTATGTATGGAGGGGGGGCAATAGTAAAATATGTACACAGATAATAATTAAACAAATAAATAAATAAATAAGGTAGAGCAAGTGTCCCTCCTCTGTGCTCCCACAGCATCCTAAGCATATGTCCTTTACAATTCCCACCAGCATTGCTCTAAAATGGTTTACAGGTTTATCCCCACCACGACCTGCCCCAAAGTTCACTTGAAAGCAAAGACTTGTTTTCTGGCAACCCCAGCACCAAACATTGGGCTTGGCATAGCAAGTTCATTGTAGCTAAGTGGAGAAGAACACAGGAGGTGCCATCATCCAGAATTTAAGTATTTATGATAACACAGGAGTCCCCAAATTCTAAGTACAGTTTTGGCTCTATTTAACTTGGGGGTTAATGCTTCCTTGCATAACATCTTCTTTTTACTTCAAGTGTTATGTCAAAACTAGTGGCCTAGTGCACAAAATTCCTGCACATTAAAAGGGGGACCCAGAGTCAAGTCCCCGCTTCAAAATTGCATTAGACCCAGACCCGGCCACCCTCCCACCCCTCATAGGGCTAGATCCAGACCTGGCCATTCCTACCATTGTCAAGCCCTAATGAGCAGGGGGCATAGCCTCAGGTCCCCTGGCCCAGCACCAGGATGGGGGCGTGGCCTGAGGTCCCCCAGAGGGGACAGGGGGCGTGCCTTGAGGTCCCCCATCAAGCCCCTCCATGTGGGGGACATGGCCTGAGATCCCCCGTAAAGCTCTGCTGAGTAGGGGGCATGGCCTGAGGTCCCCTGTCAAGCCTCACCAGGTGGGGTGGAGGCGCAGCCTCAGGTCCCCCATTAAGCCCCTCTGGGTGGGGTGCATGGCCTGAGTTTCCCCGACCCAGCACTGGGGATGTACCTTGAGGTCCCCTGTCCAGCCCCGCCAGGCAGGGGGGCGCAGCCTCAGGTCCCTGGCTCAGTTCTGGGGTAGGGAGTGCAGCCTGAGCGGGGGGAGCAGCCTGGGGTTCCCTAGCCCAGCACCAGGACAGGTAGTGCATCTTGAGGTCTCCCTCCCCAATCCCCCCACCCCAGTCAAGCCATGGAGAACGTGGGCGTGGCCTAAGGTTCCCTGACCTGGCACCGGGGCAGGGGTCTTGGCCTGAGGTTCCTCCGCCTGGTGCCAGGGCAGGGGGCAAGGCCTGAGGTCCCAATCAAGCCCTGCCAGGTGGGGGATGTGGCCTGAGGTCCCCTATCAAGCTCATGGGGGCAGGGGAGGGCGTAGCCTCAGGTCCCTGCTGATTGCTCTTTCAGGTTCCTTAAGGAAACTTGGCCTCAGCTGTGGGTGCAGCCATCTTTGTGATGGAGTGATGGCAATTAGCATATATCCTCTTTATTAGATAGGATTGCTTCTACTTCTTATATGAGTTAAGCTACCCCAGTCACCTTTGTTTCCTTCCTCTTATCGATCCTCCTTTCACACTTACTTCTACTTTAAAATAACCATTTGAAGAGATGATGTAATGATGATATAAAAATATACAAAAGGGGGGAAATCCTACTTATTCCTATCATCTAAATGTAACCTATGTTATTTTCTGGCTTTAAGTACTTTTACATATTATTTTCTGTTTTTATTTACATGTATAAATGCTTTACATAATTTCATTTAGTATTAACACCGTTGTACTTTTGACTTTTAAAGCTATAATGCATACATTTCCGTATTTTTACAGGGACATTATTCCTTTGCCTCTTAAGTCTAGATTTTCCTTTCTTTCACAATTACAAACTCATATATTCTGACCTTAAAAAAAAAAAATGTCCTTCAAAAACAATGTTTGAACTTTAAGTCTGCAGAATAAATATTGAAATAAGTTTAGCCAAAATGTTTTTATTTAAAAAATTAACAACCCTGAAAAGGACAAAACTGGAAAGCTGCTGAATATTCTGTTGAGATCTTCCCCTGGGACCTCCCCTAAAATCTCCAGCCTTAAAATCCTTAGGTCAGAGGACCCAGCACCCCCTCAGGAGCACTGCCTCACCTCCCCCTCCCCCCACCCCCTCCTTTCAGGTGTATCACCTTGACCTTCCTCCCTTCTAAGCAAGGGCCCTTCCTTTGCCACTATAACTACTTTCCTAAGCCCATTTCATCCACGAGATTACTTCTTCTACCTCTGTGATTTTCCAAATAAATGGTCTCTTATACTATGAGTCTTGACTCTGAATTCTTCCCTAGTCAGAACTCAAGTCCCCAGGTTGCTGAGCCCAGGTCCAATCTAACCCCACCTGTCTGATCTAACACCTGGTGCTGTTCTCACACCACCACCACCAACAGGGTAAGACTTGCCGGGACCGGTTTGGCTCAATGGATAGAGCGTCGGCTTGGGGACTGAAAGGTCCCGGGTTCGATTCCGGTCAAAGGCATGTACCTTAGTTGCGGGCATATCCCCAGTAGGGGGTGTGCAAGAGGCAGCTGATCGATGACTCTCTCTCATCGATGTTTCCAGCTCTCTATCTCTCTCCCTTCCTCTCTGTATAAAATCAATAAAATATATTTTAAAAAACAAACAAAAAAACAACAACAACAACAAAAAAAACAGGGTAAGACTTAAATTCAGAAAGAGAAAAGGGAACTCGTTAAATACATGTTACCTGCCACCTCCTGTGTACCAGGTTTTGTGCTGGATGTTGCTGGTGAATAGTGGAGGAAATGGGGAACGCTACAGAAAACACCCAACAGACAAGGTCTCTGTCCTCAGGAAGGCAGCCCAAAGCCGAGCACATGTTACAGATAAAGCGCAGATTGTGCATTGGAGACCCCTAAAAATAGGACAGAGAAGTGGAGCGGAGGAACTTCAGGAATGGCAAAGACCTTCCACATCATTTAGTTCAGCGGTTCTGGGGCTAAACATCAGTGGAGGGTGCGTTTTAAGAGCCCCGGGCTCCTCACAGGGGCTGCTGTAGAACAGATGTGGGGGAGGGCACATTTTACAGTGCCATGTCTGTTTGTGTTTAAAGCTCCTGAGATGGTTGTGAGGGTCCCTCAGGTTGGGGAATACTCATCTAGTACAAGCTCATTTTTAGTGACAAGAAGAAAATTCTGAGGCGTCCTAAATTAATTACAGCAGGCAGAAGTGGGGGAGAAAGAGACAGAGAGGTTAATCAGTTAACAACTGCAGGGCAAAACCAACAGAAAACTGCTTACATTGCTCCCCTGGCTGCAAGTCTCCTGGGTCCCTTAGCGGTTGGGAGACGCAGGCCTGCGCGGGGAGGGAAAGGCAGGTGCTCCTGGGAGGGCAGTGCGCACTGGGTCCTTTGTTTTGAGGGTTTTTGAAGGCTGGCGGTTCAGAGGCCGTCTTAGGGGAGCTCCCAATAGAACCCTCATCAGCTTTTCCAGGTGTGCCCTCTCCCCTGCTCGGTCAGCACCAGGGCAGGGTGTGTTTAGTTAGCACCTGGTTTTGCTGCTTTTCTGAGCCTGGAGCTGAAATAGGAGGGAGGCCTAGATATTATCTCTGGGGAAGAAAGGTCAGGGGTCCACCCTGAATCACCAGCGACATGCCAGGGGAGGAGAGGCCCCGGGGGCGAGGGCCAGCGCCAGTCCTGCCCATTGCCAAGCGCACCAGGCACGCGGGGCTGTCCGCCCTGGTGACCATCTGCGCCTGGCTGTAGACGCTCAGCCAGCCGGTTCAGCTGTCTCAGTTTCTGAAGTCCACTTGCGAGGAGTTTTCTTAGCTCCTTACTCTCATGCCTCAGGGTCACCTGGAATCCTGTGGGAAAGCAGATCCAGGGCTCTCCTCCGGATCTGCAGAATGGGAATCTGCATTTTAGTAAGACCCGCAGGGGCTCCATACGGACATCAGAATTTGAGAAGCACTGCGCTAGAGGGTTTCCCATTTTTTAGAAAGAGAGGAGCAGTATTAAGATAAACAGGAAGTAAAGAGTAAACAATTTGTGATTTCTAGTGTATGATGGAGCTGGCTTAATGAACTAAGGTAGGATCCACACTCTCATTGTTAGCTGCCAGGATACACTGTCCCTCAAGCATAGGCAGAGGAGAAAGTTGCAATTGTGGGATGGTTTGAAAATATCTAGCGTTCCAAGAGTCTTTCCCTCTATTGAGGCAGAGGTCTAAAACGTTACCTTTTTTTCTTTTTATTGACACTGGGGCCACTCATTCTACCTTCCCAAATTCGCTGGGACCCTTGTCCCCTCCTCAGACTCTATTATGGGGCTTCACTGTCTATTCTCACAGCCGTTAGCCACCTCACCTCTACCCTGCATCTTACTAGACAGACACCCCCTTTACCCAACCTAAAAAGTTATCGTTTTTTGTGGTGGCGAAGAGCATGAGGCCCCATTCTAAGTACAGAAACTGAGTAACTTCCACTTAACTTCTCATGGCCTTAGGGTCCCCGTTTGTAAAAGCAATCCCAAACAAAACCCAAGTGGTCATTTCTCCCAGCTCTCCAAGTTTCTATTCTATTTCATTTCTTTTGACAGATACTTTTTCTCCAGTAAAGTATTAAAAAATATATATAAAATGTTAATGCTCCTGAAGTAGTTGCTGTTAAGCAAACAGACAAACAAACGAAAGAACCTTGGAGGCTGAAAGCGTTTCTAAAAGTAAGATTTATTGAGCCACATGCCAGCCAAAAAAAGGACCAGGTGCTGGGGAATGAAGTCTAAACCACCAGCAGCCGTGCCAGGGAGAAAAGACAAACATATCCACCATCCTGGAATTGACGGGCACTTTTATGCTTAATGTTTGGGGAAGAAAGATATGAGATGTTTTGAAAGAATTTACATTGGCTACAGAAAAGGGTGTTGGGGAGGTGAAGAGGAGGCAGTTCTATGACAGGTACACAGTCCGTAAGTAGGAAATGCTACGTTTGACAACAGTAAGCGCGGTCATGCATGTGTGGGATACCGGAGTCTAGTAGTCTGCTAAACAGATGCTTTCAGGAATGTGAGCTGCGGGGTCTGCAGAGAGCAGTCTTTTGCTAGTTTAGCCCACAGCTGGCTAATGGTTCACTACTCTGGTCTTTTTCTCTCCCTCTCCCCAGGCCTGATGTAATTGAATGCAGTGCATCTCAGAATTTTTCTCTTGCCATTGCTAACAAGGTGGGAACTTTAATTAATACAAATTGATTTCTTTTTGGAAGAGAATCCTGAGCCCTGGAAGGAGAGTTGTAAAAGAAAAGGAAAAAAGAAGAAGGAACAGGGGAAGGAAGAAAATACACACTCCTTAAACAGGTATAGTTGTTTTGCTTTACTTGATATGTTGTGGACTCTTTTGGCAATGGCCCATTAAAAGTATTTCCCATTTTTTTTCTTTTTTCTTCTTAACCCATGCTTACCTTGTCCCCCACCCACTTTTACACCAAGTGAAGCAAGAACGAATGAGAACCCTCAGAGACAAAATGCATCTGCTTCCCAGTTTTGCCTGGTGCTTGGGAGGACATCGGTGTTGAGCTCCCTTGAAGCCCTGGGAGTGGAGGGCTGCTGTTCCTTAAAAGTTCTTCTTTCCCCAGCCCACAAAAAAAGTGGTTGAAACACTTCCACAAAGCTGACTAGGTCAATTCCCCGTTCCTCCTCACGCAAAAATGCTGTTGCTCCGAAGGCTACTGTGAAAATGTCGGACCATCCTCAGAGAGTTCAACCCTCGTCTCACAGCAGAAGAGGTCCCAGTCAACTGGCTACTCCCACGGAATTCTCCAAGGCCCTGGGATGGGGACACAGGAGACAAGGTTCCTTACGCAGCCGGAGACTTGTCAAGTCTCCACAGTAATTCCCACGCCATTAGCGTGAGGAGGCAGGGCAGGACTTCTCCAGAGAATTCACGTTTTAGGGCTTGGCCATGGCTCTCTGGGGAGGAGTAATGGGACCCTAGGGTGAAACCAAGGACTTGGAATTCCTAAGTACCCCCACTACAATGGAGACCCAAGGGGAGCATCTGCAGTGAAACTTCTCAACAGATCAGCTTGAAAGAATTCATTTTTATAACAAGCAAGTTCATAACCAAACATATGCACAATACATTAAATCAATTACAAGGGACGTGATTTCACTCACACGTAGAATGTAATGAACAAGATAAACTAACAAAATAGAAATAGACTCATACTGGTAGGCGGTGGGGGTTAAGGGCCGGGAACAGGGGGGGGGGGGGGAGGTGGGGAAATGGGAAATATCTGTAACACTATCAACAATAAAAATATACATTTTTAAAAAGAAATAGTCTCATAGATACAGGGAATAGACTGATAGCTGTCAGAGGGGAAGGGGGTTGGAGGCTGGCTGAAAAGGTGAAGGGATTAGGCAAAACAAACAAACAACTCATAGATACAGACAACCGTGTGGTGATTACCAGAGGGAAAAGGGAGTGGGGGGGGGGGAGTAGAATAGGATAAAGTGGGGGGAAATGGTGATATAAGGAGACTTGACTTGGGGTGGTGAACCACCTCCACCACCTCCACCACCCATAGCAGCAAATTCAAACACGGGAGAAAGCCTACGCCTCAATCAAGAACATCACTAGGTAACAGGGATCTACCAGTACATACTAGTACACAAGTACAGTGCACACAAGAGTTCAAACTCATGTTCTTGCTAAGAATGGTTCCTCCTCCCTCCCCCGCCCCCCCCGGCCCTTCGTAGTCACACTTTCTTAGGAACCCGGCAAAGCCTCCCCTGCGCATCTGGTGGCCCGGAGTCCCGGGCAGGTGGGCAGGCGATGGCTCTCCCCGCTGGCCAGCTGCGCGGTTCTCGGAGGGACCCGCTCGTGGGTGCCGGGAGGTTGACAGGAACCTCGGCCCCGCGGAATACCCTCGTTCCCACGGGGGCCCCCATTTCCCTCCTTGCTACCCCCCAACTCGTCCCCGCCTCCAAATCTCAATAGACTCCCTCCACTCACACCCCACCCCCAAACGCCCCCAGCACGTACCCGGGACCAAACCTGAGCGTCCTCATCCTCCGTCACCACCCCGATCACCGGGATTTGTCGAGGGCTGACGGACTTGCTCTTGCCGCGCGGCCCCTGGGCCTCGGCCGCCGACGGGGCCTCGGCTGCGGCTGACGCCTCGGCGGGCGCCGGGGCCTCGGCGTGGCGAGGCATGGGGGCTCTTCGGTCCTTCGATGTGCCCGCCGCGGAGGGACTCAGAGACGCGCTGCCACCGAGAACGGAAGGCCCCCGAGAGCCGCCGCCCCGCGCCGCCGCCGCCCACCGGGACCTCGGCTCGCGCCTGCCAGCTGGTTGCTACCACGCCAGCACGTTGCTAAGGGCGGGGCCAGAGACCTTGGAAGCGCCGGCTTCTACGGAAGCCCGGGGATCCAAACTACCTCAAACGCTAGCCTGCACCTCCGCGCTCAGGACGGCAGGGTTGCTTTGTGCGCTAGACCTGGGCACCTAGCTGTGCAGTTTTCGGGGCGTTTTGGTAATGTGCGCAGGGCCTTCAGGAGCGTGGGTGGAGGGGGTGAGGTGTGGATGTGGGGTGAGGTGTGGAGATGGGATGTGTAAGAGGTACAATCAGTGTTTCCCAAACTTTTGACATATGTGTACCCCTTCTATAATTTTCGTAAGGCTGAGTACCCCTCGAGCTCATGAGAACGTAGAATTAGGCGCAGCTAAGCACGGTGCAGTGCATAACACCACTAAACTCCGGTGCAACGTGTACCCCCACCAAACTCTTCCTGTACCCCTGGGGGTACGCGCAGATGGTGGACGGATGGTGTTGGAAGTGAAGCAGCTTACCTCACCCCGGAGAAATGACCAGTGTCACCTACATTTTCCAGCTTAGGCTATGGTGACCAGAAGTCCCGATTTCTAACAATGTGTCCCGCATCCCGCGGCGTTTTTAAAAAAATCCCGATTTTCCAAAAATTGTTAGAAATCGGGACTATCCCGCCAAAAGCGGGACGTCTGGTCTCCTTAGGCCCTCTCTTCTGTACTTGAGTGGTCCTAGGAGGCAAGTTAAATAAATAAGGCGTTTCCCACAATGTGAGAAGACTTCTGATTCAAACCACTGAATCTAGAACAAGTTCATCTCGCTTTCCTTACCTGTTAGACAGCTGTGAGCAGTTTTGTAAAGTGCCGCTTGGCCCAGAAGCTCTCAGTACATGATCAAAATTACCGTTGACTTTATTTATTACTGGTTATCTACTCACTGAATCCTGAGTAATAGTCCGAGAAGGGGAAAAAACTTTTAAGGGAAAAGCTTCTCGTGATAATCATTATAACTTAACTACGCCAAACACCTTGCCTGTGAAAATTTAAGAATTCTTTAAACCTTTTAATCCTTTCAAAACAAACAACAAAACCCTACAGCTATTCTTCAAGATTTAAATATGTTTTTATATCTCCCATAAAATGTAAGGGCTAAAAAAATTACACAGAATCTCCATAAAAAATAAATTTCATTTCACTTCTCAGGGTTTCTCTTCTCATTGGTAGAATAAGCAAGTAGATCAGAGATTTCTCAGGTTCCTTAACCAGTTCAAACACTGAGTAACATTTTTGGCTCCACAAATAAAGGGAACTGGGAAAACCAGCTTGGGACTGGCAGTACTTTATGTAAATCGGAGCCAACCCCCAAGCTTCTTTGAAAGAGTCCTGAGCATTTCCAGTCTCTATTTCCTCACCTCAACGCATCCTTCTTCCTTCCTCAGCCCAGTTCTCTGAGACTGCCCTGACTGAGGTCAAAGTCTGCAGACACTGTGCTTGTCTGGAGTGTTTTACACTGTTGACCACTCTCACCCTGCTTGAAACTCCTTTGCCTGAGCTTCAGCATTCTTCTTTCTTTTAGCTTTACAGTTACCTATTGGTACTTTTGGAGCACCTCTCAGGCCTTACCCCTAGAATTGGGCTCAGCAGGTCTTAAGTTTGCTGTCACCCACGGAGAGTGCAACGGGTTTGTCAGGTGTATGATTAACATGACCGTAATGGAGTTGCACATTCCGCCGCCTACACTGTATCCAAAGCAAACTGAAACTACTCCGTTCAACACAATGGAATACCTGAGACCGAGATGGTGGTGGGGAACTGACCTTTGTTCCATATCTGACCTTACGCAACAGGTATTTTATTTCCTCATAGCCTGGAGGCTAGAAGTTCAAGTTCAAGGTGTCCAAGATTGGTTTCCATTGGATGCCTCTCTCTTTGCAAGATGGCCCCATTTTGACTTGGTCATCACATGGTCTTCCCTCCACGTTAAACTTATGAGGATGCTAGTGAAACTGGATTAGGGCCCACTCAAGACCCCATTTTATCTTAATTACCTCTTTAAAGGCCCTCTCTCCAAACACAGTTATTCCGAGGTACTAGGATTAGAACTTCAACGTATGAATCTTAGGAGGATACAATTCAGCCCAGAACTGACTCCAACATCCTTTGGGTTATAAATCTGTTCGTAGAAAGAACAGATTCAAGAGTAGAATATGCTTATTTAAGGCAATACTGGTATTTTTGCCTATAGGACACTGATATTTCTCCCAGTAGTGATAAATTACTATTTTGACTTAACAATTTATCACTGTGTTTTGATCAATGTAAATCTGTCCCTGTAAGATGAATGTCCTTCAAGGGCTCCAACATATCTCAATGTTGAGCCTGCTTTGTAAAAATCATTATTTATTTCTTGTTGTATTTTCCATTTGTAGAATCCACTACTAAAACTACTGTGCTATCCTCGATTCCCTAGAACCTGACATAAACAAACAAACAACATTCAACTGCTGCCACTTTATTGGGAGCCACGATGTCTGGGAAGCGTAAGTTAGGAGAAGATGGAAGTGAGGCAGGCAGTGGAGAAGGGAGTACAAATACAAGTGTTTTTGAGCTGGCCAAAGCTTTATAAGGGCAGTTAATTCCTCAGCCTTTTAGAATATTTTCCTGGAGGCCTATGGATTATTGCACCTCGGAACAGTCCATCTGGGGAAAAGGAAGGAAGAAGAATTTATCCACCTGCTCCCTCTGGGGCTGCATCTCTTTGGTCAAAGTTCATCCCTCCAGTAGGGTTGCCAGATTTAGCAAATAAATAAATACATATTAAATAATAAATATTCCTATGCATTATTAGTAACAGAATTACATTAAAATTTATTTTTTGGCCTTATCTGGTTTGGCTCCTTGTATAGTGTCAGCTACTGACTCAAGGGTCCCGGATTCGATTCTGGTCAAGGGCACATGCCTAGGTTGCAAGCTCGGTCCCCAGTAGGGGGCATGCAGGAGGCAGCCAATGAGTGATTTCTTATCATCATTTATGTTTCTCTCTTCCTCTCCCTTCCTCTCTGAAATCAATAAAAATGTTTTTTTTGTTTTGTTTTGTTTTTTTAAAGTTATATTGCCCTAACTGCTTTGGCTCGGTGGATGGAGCATCGGACTTTGGACTCCAGGGTCCCAGGTTCAATTCCAGTCAGAGGCATGTACCTTGGTTGTGGGCACATCCCCAGTGGGGAGTGTGCAGGAGGCAGCTGATCAATGATTCTCTCTCATCATGGATGTTTCTATCTCTCTCTCCTTATCCCTTCCTCTCTGAAATCAATAAAAAACATATTTTAAAAAGAATAAATGCAAAAGAAAAAAGAATAAATGCTAGTGAAAATAAATGTTTAAGAATACAAACTCATTAAATAGATGGTTTTCTAAATTATTACTTTGGCAAAGACAAACAAACAGAACCCCCAGGATTCCAAAACTATTACATGTATTTTTTGGATACTTATAAAAAGATAGAGAAAAGTATTAGATGGCCTCCATAAAATAATGGAATTATTATTCAGTAAGATAGAAAAATTAATTTATATACATTTCAAAAAAGAAGTTAAAACACATTAAATAGTACTTTTTATTTAGGTGTTTATAAGGCAGGTCTATGAGAATGATATAAAAACATAGCATCTAATTTGATAGCAATAATTTGGTGATTACAGAGTTTTAGCAAATATCTATTACACAGTTATAAAGAAGACTGTTTTCTAAGCGGATACAAAAATATTTAATCAAAGATCAAGACAAGAAGATGAGTATAATTAATTAACAATGAACATTCAATTCTAACATGAACTGCACATTTTCCTTTAAAAACTTTTAAAGGTAAGAATTATTGCATTCTCTTTAATTCAAACAGTGTTGAACGGTATCATGACAAAAAACTGAAGGCTGGAATGGGTTGATTTTGACTTCATATAAAGAAACACAAGTTTACAATGGCTTAACTACAGGAAAAGGCAACCCAAGTAATGTAGTAGTCAAGATCTTTTTAGTCTCCAACGTGCCATCCTTAGGGTGTGGCCTTGGTACTCTTGGATTTGTCAAGGCTCCGGTTATTTCCAGAATTCCCGCAAATGGAGGAATAGGATAAAAGAACACATCCTCGAATCCTCTTCCAGGAAGTCACTCATACATTCCCCAGACATCTCTCTGGACAACACTTAAGTCACATGGGCCACCAACTGCAAGGGCAGTTGAGGAATTTGATAGACAGCAGCTTTTAAAGAAGTAGGGTCACTAGTCCCTGTTCAAGTTGGTTATCTGAAACACTGTGTAAAACCTCTAAAGAAAATCTTAAGAGAATATTTCTAGAAGTTGTCATTATGGAAATCTTACAAAAGACCTTGCTTCTGTGATTTAACTTAGCCAGACTAGTCACTGGAAGTATCCATAAAGTCTGCCCTAATTTTGAATGGCAGCATGAATGAAAATCCATTGAGTTGGAAAGCAAAAATCTCAGTATGCATATGTGTTAGGCTGAACCAAATATTGTTTTGGTATCATATGGGCAACATTTCTGAATATTAGCACTTTACAATTTTTCACATTAAAAAAAATTAACAAACTTTTCATTCCTGCAAAATTCACTGTTCAAAGGTACGAACAGATTGTGTTTCCACTAAAATTATTACAGTTCCATTTAGAGCCATTACACAGATTGAATATACACCAGAATGTGTTTTACTAACGTACTGACTTAGGAACAATGGAAGATGGAGCATCTCCTTTCCTTGATGACACATCACAAATATAATCTTAACCCTGGACCAAGGTGTATCATTGGTAATACACTGGCACTGGTCTAACTCATGAGTTTACAAAATAATTTCAACACAACGTTTTAGGCTGTTTACTTATTTAAAAACAGATTTTATAGACTGACATGGGTTCAGTGTTTATAGTATTCTTACAGGAATACTTATGAATATAATCTAAGGTCCTTTATTCAAAATATCTCATTAAGAAATCTTAAAATTCACAAGTAAACCTCTTTCAGAGGAATTCTCTCAACAGAATTTATTATGAAGTAGTGTAATGGCAAAAGGCAATTAAAAGAATGTTTTATCATATTTCATAGGAGATAAACAATACAAAAATATGGATATGATTTATTCTTTAAGCCCTTTTACACAAATAATTTTCACAATCTGACTGTATGAATGAATATACCTTATGTTACTATTATCAAATTAATTTCAAAAGTGAAATTCCTTAATCAAGTCAGGATTATGCCAATGTATTAGAAATAATCAGGTAGTTTAACACTGGAGCTCATTAGCCAATCCCATACATAGCACAAAATAATCATCTCCGATAAATAACTACAAATATAATTTATTTATACATTAAAATATTTTAAAATTTAAATAAAAACCTCTACACATAGGCAATCTTAGCTAAATTTCTATAAATGCTTTGAAAAAATATGTTAGCATGAATATATTATTTAAATATGATCTTAAAAATTATTAATAGCAGAGACATATGACACCTGCACAAAAAGCTAAGTAGCATGATCAGTCCAGGATTATTTTCTTCTTAGGAAATAATTAATTTTTTGCATAGGTTTAAGACTGGATATATTTTCTACATTCTTATAATTTTTCTCAGGGGCACTTCTCAAAATACAGATTAGAAAACAAATTCCTATTACCTTAAAGTACCCACCACTTTCTCACATCTAGCAAGAACAGAATTCAGTCCCACTTCTGAGGCCAGAGTAATGATTTTGACAAAAGTAATTATGAAAGAAAGTGATGAAGAAAATAATCAGGTAGGGAATAGTAAAATAAAGCAATTAAAAGTTAACTGAATAAAACAAGTCAATATTTTTGCATTTTAGAAAGGCTTTGAAATATTTAGAACTATAATAGATTTCCTTTATTCTAAAACTTCAAAACTAATTTTATCTTTGTAAGGGAGAAACGGAGATACCATTTGAAACAAGTTACATCTTAAGTATATATATTTTTATAAACTGTTTTTTCATATTTCCAAAATCCCATTTATCTCTAAGAGTGATTATTTTATTTATAATACATTGGCTACTTAATATATATGTGCAACAATATACTTCAATAGTCATCTAACTTTTCATAATATTTAATTGTATTTTCACATGAAATGGTGAACATGTGGTCTTAAGACAGTGAAACTTGAGGAACAAGGAAGTATTAAAAATATGCTAATTTCACTAGTCCACTACAATAGTTTATGAGTGTTTACCTTTAGAAGTTATCACCCAACTGAATTCCTACTAAGAAGTAACAAGTAAGTAATTATCAAGAGGGGAATACTATAACTATATAAAGAAAATGGAGAGCTCAATTAAAAAGTAAAAGGTATTCAACTTCATCAAGAAGAGAACGTCAGAGAATCATGAGTGATTTACTGACATAATGCATAATAGGGAAAGAGCCATTGGTGGGAAAGGGAGCCAAATTGCCTTTTTATTTTTGGCAGCTGGACTTAGTGGTCTTCAGAGGGTAAGTTTGGAAATATTATAATTCCAGAGGCGTGCATATAATTAAATCTTGTCTGCAATGTTGAAAGAGCATAGGGGAAAAAATGTAGGGCATTCTAACCAAAGTTTGAATAAAATGAGATTTTAATGTGGAATGTCAGCACTGAAAATTGTTATGAATAATTCGTATGATTATATATCTCCAGAGTAGATTTATAATTGACCGATTACCCTAATATCTGTCAAGCTTGCAAACCTCTCCCCAATGAATGGTTAAGCAAGCAGGAGGACTTCTCAAGAAGAGAAAAGGAGATGACCAGCCTACAGGGACTTTCTAAGATTCTGTAGAACCTCAGCCATTTATTAAAATTGCCATGGTCCTCTCTCTGCTGGAGTCCCTCGCGGTATTAGGAAGCATACGGACTGCCATGGGTCCCCTGGGTCACATCCCAGGCAAGATCCTCCCTGAAGGTAAGAACTGTGGATTGTATCACAATTTGATAACCACAGCTCACTCTCAAGAATGTCAATGCCTTTATACAAAAGAGGAAGCAGAAAGATTGGCATCATGAATGTCATGCATGGAGATGGAGCAGGGGCCATTCAGTCTCTGAAATATGGCTGCGGGGGCTTAAATGCTGGCTCTGCCACTAACCCCATGACCTAGGGCAAATTACTTAACTTTTTATCCTTCAGTTTTCTCATAGGTAAAATGAGAGTGATAGCTACCCCTGTCACAGGACTGTTTTAAATGGAGATAATACAGGTAAAGTGCTTAGAACAGTACACGGCATGTTAGAATCCCTCAATGAATTTCTGTAAAATCCTGCACCATAGAGTGTGATGACTGGCTAAGGGGCAACAACATGGATCAGTTGACAAACAACTACCTGTGTGTATAACTAATATTTTCCCTTTAACTAGAAACAATGATAGGATTTCCAGGATTGGTACTATAGTAAGTAGCAGAATCAGTTTTGGAGGCCAACAATTACTGTCTTCTCCCTGGCACCATATAACTGCTTTGTAACAAGATAAGGAAGAAAATCTTTCATGAGGTACACATTATCAGTATATCTTTCATATCTCCAATGCATTTTTAAATAGAATTTCAGGTTCAATTTGTCTTTTCAGTTTTGTATTTGTTCACAAAATCACATCGAGTCACAAAATCAATGCTATTCTTCAAATCCTATCTTATGAGAGAAATATAGGAATATAACCATGTACTCTTTTTACCTAGATGCTAATGTAATACACCCTTTTTTTTAAAAGTATACAATTATGCATTTCTAATTTTTACACTGGATAATAATTAAAACTTTTGAGTTTCAGAAAAAAACTGTATCTATTGAATTATATTAAAACTTAAAATTCTGCTGGTTTGCAAAGTTAACATTATATTGTATCTATATTATTAACTATATTTTTTTGCCTGATTATGGAATATAGTTTGTTAAAAATAACAGTAATGCCACAGTTGTGCAAAACAAAAAACACCTAAATTTTAACAATAAGTTAACTACAAAAATCCATATCGACAAAAAATGACATTTGTGAACATGAATTCGAAGACAATTCTACCACTATTTGGCTAAGATCACATTGGACAAGTTTCAGCCCACAGCAATTTAGACAGCACACTGGCACCTGAACATATACGAAGTCAAACCCATAATGAATGGCGTCAGTAGGAATTCTCGTGGCATCAGCGAGCACCATTTATCATCACATGACTGTGACCCTTTCTGGTGACAAATGAGGAACTGCTCCTCCAACACCTTCTTCCAGAAACTGGCTCTTTTCCCAGCCTTTTTTAATTCTCTTCAGCTTTTGGCTTATACATGGAAGAAGTAAGATGCTCTTACCCAGAATTACGATGGATGGCAAAACAAGAGCGAGAACAAAGTTCGGTGGTGTGTAAAACCTGTAGTACTCTCCTTCAAAAGCTCGTTTCCATCCATAAATTAAAACATGGAAAGTGCTTATGAGCAGAGCGACGTAGCCAAGAGTAGACTTCAGATGGAGGAGGAAGAAAAAAAAAAAGGAATAAGAAGCAAATTATTCAAATTCATAAATAAACCTATTTCATCTTAAATTATTATTGAGCTACTTTTTGTTCTCTACTAAACAATTTAAGCACTTTCATATATATTTACATATGTGATTTTATTTTACACAATTGAAGCCATAGTTTAATATTCTAATTATCTCATTTATTATGTGAAGGACTTTTCCCTCATGTCATTGAGAATCCTATTCAATGGATGTGCTGTAATTTATTTAACCATTCTTTTCGTTGATTATTTATTTTGTTCCCAGCTTTCCTCAACTCTACATAATGTCACTCTACACTCTTTTCTATATTCTGGTTTATTTCCTTAGAACTGATATAGTGGGATTGCTAGTCAAAACATCTGGCTTTACTTTAGGGTTATTGACAAAAACTGCTAAACTTTTTTATATAGATCATCCACATTTTTGCCATTTGTGTATATTAGGAAAATTGAGTGTGTTTATATTTATGTATTCATATGTACATGCTAATTGAAGGTAAATATGAAAAACGTTATATATTAACATGTAATATAAATAGCATTTCAAGCATGTGGCTTTATTGACCTTATTAAATGAGATTACTAAGAGCTCTGCAGTTATGGAGTTTATAAGTTAAAAAGTCAGCATTCCTGTTTCCCTAAATTATGATGTTGGATTGTTAACTTTGAGAAATACTCTATTACATCCATGTAATATTGCATCTGTAGAATGATGTAACATCTAACTTCACTGGGAAAGGATCAAAACTCTAGCAGAAAACTTCTCTCTGCAATTACTCATCCAAATTTATAATGATAGTCTGCACCCATCTAGCACCTTTCATCTGAGGGCCTTCTATTTATTTCCAGGTGTGATTAAACTAGCACTTTGCAAAGTATTCATTTTTTTTTTCCTTTAAAGAAACTGCCTCTCCCCCACAATTCAGTTTATCACCAAATGATACTTATTGGCATTATAGTGCTGTAAACCATGTGGATACAGTCAATACTGATTGCGTTTATGTCTGAGTTATATTATTTTTAAATATGCAAATGTAGCCCTGGCCTCGTGGCTCAGTTGTTTGGAGTATTGTCCCATACACAGAAAGATGGCAGGTCCCATTCCCAGTCAGGGCTCATATCAGGTTGTGGGTTCAATCCCTAGTTGGGAAGCATGAGGGAGGCAGCCAATCAATGTTTCTCTCTCCTTCTAAAATCAATAAAAGCATGTTCCCGAGTGAGGATTTTTAAAAAATGCAAATACAGACCCCTTTGTAGACACTCATATAGATATGTATATAACTTATATACTAAATACACTAACAAGTTCATAAGGCTGGTTGCTTGTCATAACCCATTAACGTAGTTATCTGGTTTGCCACTACTTTAAAATATTCTTTTAAATATTAGACTGACCTCCTCCTCACTTGAATTCAAATTAATGAGATTTTTCTGGACATAGCAGGATGATTCAAAATATAAAATAATTCTTCATTTGGCTAATAATACATTGACTTTTGGCTTCAACGTGTTCTAAGCTCACACATCCCCACCTTCATTTTTTTTCTTTTCTTATTAAAATAACCTTTTTCCATAGCATAGCAGGCAAGACTATCAGTGCTATACAATCCTATACTGGTCCTTCACTTACTAAATCAGGATGGGCCTAAGCTAGCCTCCAACCATATGAGGCCACCAAGCTTATATGCTTGGTGGCCTCATATGGTTGGAAAAGGCTCTTTTCACAAGATGCATACTTCAAAGTCAACTGTGCCTGACATGTAATTCTATGCAGCCCATTCCCTCGCCAACCAAAACCCCACATACCTGAATAAAACTGAATTCCCTCCAGTTTAAGGCGTTGCTCACGGAAGGGATGGAGGTGACTGCCAGGAGGGACAGTAAGCCCAGGCTCATGATGCCAAAGGAGATATACATTTCAATTCTCCAAACTTCCTCCTCATTCCAGGAGTTTTTAATGTCTGCATGAACCTAACAAGAGAGCAAACACGAGTTTCCCTTATTGGGCTGAACATCAACTGATTCCGCAAAGAGTTCACTCCTGGCATAAGAATACATCACATAGGGACACATTAAGTTGTATCAATTCCATTTAACAAACTGTTATGGAGAACCTATTACTGGATGGTATTGTTTCAGGCATGGGGGAAAAAAAAAAAAAAGAGAATGGAGGACTAAGATTCTCTCTTTCTTTGCATATGAGTGAGAAGAGTGGGTAAACCTGTCTCACATTTGTAACACATCACAGTTACAGTGACTCTGGTGTCCAGAGACCATGAAATGCCACGTGGTTTGTTCCAGGTGACACAGAGAAGTACTGGCGGTTAGACTTCGTCTTGAGGTACTTTTTTACAAGTCGGTTTAAACTTGATCGAATTGTTTGGGTACATTCTGGACTTAGTTCCACTTAGAACCTAAAAAAGGAATTTCTAAACTACTTTTGTATGTTCCTTTTTCACATCAAGGGTATTTATATGTTGGTTTATCTCTTCTTACCTTCTTTTCCACAGGAAGCTGATATTTCCCTGAGGATAAAACTCTACTGAATGCAAATATTTATCCACTTGAATTGCCTCATTATTTAATATGCTTTTCCAACTGTCTATTTGCCTAATTCCTATATAACTATATTGATAATGTATATATAATCAAGCAGAGTAAGAGGGTTGGGAATCCAGGGTTGAGTTGGAAGTAGGTAGCAGAATTTAAAGTGGTGTCCAATGCAGGTCTCACGGAGAAGGTGAGATCTGAGCAAATAACTTGAAGGAAGAAGCTGGGAGAGCTGATATGAAAGCCTCCCTACTCAGTTATGAGTAGTATTTTTAGGGAAAGAATGAATTAAAAACACTCATGTAATTTCCCCCCCCAAAATTATTCTAGGTTGAAATTGTTGAAACAGCCGAAACCGGTTTGGCTCAATGGATAGAGTGTCGGCTTGGGGACTGAAGGGACCCGGGTTCGATTCCGGTCAATGGCATGTACCTTGGTTGCGGGCATATCCCCAATGGAGGGTGTGCAAGAGGCAGCTGTTCGATGACTCTCTCTCATCGATGTTTCTAACTCTCTATCTCTCTCCCTTCCTCTCTGTACAAAATCAATAAAATATATTAAAAAAAAAAAAAAAAAAGAAATTGTTGAAACACATGTAAGTACTAGATGCTACATACTTGTCCCATGATGCCTTGGCTCCTTATAAAAAGAAAAAGCGTTTACACATTTGGTGCAGGGTCTTCAGTTTTCACCGAGAAATGCTACATCCTAAAGCTCTCATGGTATACTTTATTTTACATTCGCCGAGTGCGAATGATTGGGGAGTTCAGTCTAATCCAGCAACAAGCTCCCTCCATGAAGCTCTCCTTGTGATGTTCTTGAGCTAAGTGCTAGAAAAGCTTCACCTGAGAAACTGATATCCTTCCTGCTTTTCGCTAACAAAAACCTTGTAAGCATATTTCTTCTGATATGGACTTCCTGTTCTGCTTTATGTTTTCACTGGTTCTAATTTTATTGTATACATTTACTGAGATTGCCTTAACATTTTGTGGGACATAGCCAATTACAAAACATTAAACTAATGAACTGTTCAGTACTGAAAGCAATCATTGCAATAAGAACATTAAAATTAAAAGAACAGCCATAGCCTGTGTGACTCAGTTGGTAGGAATCAAAAGGTTTGATTCCCCGTCGGGGCACATACACAAGTTGCGGTTCTGGTTGGAGCATGTGCAGGAAACAACCAATCTATATTTCTGCTCACATCAATGCTCTCTCTCTCTCTCTCTCTCTCTCTCTCTCTCTCTCTCTCTCTCTCCCTCTCCCTCTCTCCCCCTCGCTTTTTCAAAAAATATATTTTATTGATTTTTTTTTTACAGAGAGGAAGGGAGAGGAATAGAGAGTTAGAAACATGGATGAGAGAGAAACATCGATCAGCTGCCTCTTGCACACCTCCTACTGGGGATGTGCCTGCAACCAAGGTACATGCCCTTAACCGGAATCAAACCTGGTACCCTTCAGTCCACAGGCCAACGCTCTATCCATTGAGCCAAACCGGTCAGGGCTCTCTTTCTCTTTTTCTCTCCATAACCAATTAAAAAAGAAGAAGAAGAAGAAGGAAAAACCCTAATCTTTTATTTCTCTGCTATTATTCTGCAAAGAAAGGGATGGTTGCAGCTTCCTCCCTCAATGATTTTGCACGAGCCATGTAACTCCATGCAGAAACATTATTTAAAGAACAGTACTTTTCCTGTCCTAAATATACCAAGGTATGCAAAGTTGTACCCAATTTTTAATCTTACTGTTTACAAATTATATTAAGCATCAGATAAATAATAAACATGCTCCATACCTGCTGGTAAGCCATGTTGAGAAACAAGTACCTCTCGGATCTTCTCATCGGCAAGCAGAGGCTATAGGCAACGTGGACCGAAGCGAAGAAAAAGCTTAGTAATCCAAGTTGTTTCCTACACTGCAACCAGGTCTCCAGCCAAGGTGGGAATCTCCGGTACTTGGTGCCGTAATAAAGTTGGTAAGCAGCGGCCAGGAGACCTGCCAGGTATACCAGGGACAGCAAAGTGATGGCAACTACGGGCAAGGTTTTATTCACAATCTCAATGGGAATCTTGTAGAAGTCACTCTGCTGGTTTCTAGCATAGGGATGTATCACATCCCTGACAAAGGAATAAAGGAAGAAGAAAATGGCCAGGCTTATGGCTACCACGACCGGCCCTCTCCAGAGGGTAAAGAGCTGCAAGGGTAAATTTTCAATCTCTCTGGCTGAGGATAATGATCCCACGTCGACGGGAGTAAAATTCAACTGCCGGGCAAGTTCAACGACCTGTTGTCGGGCTTGAATATTGTTGCTGCAAATATAAACCTGCAGCAAAAACAAAGACACATCATGACCACCGCTGCTTGTAGAAACGGTGATGATCCCACCCTCCGCTTAGTCTGTGGAGCATCACTTGTGATGACCAAGTGATGCAAAAAGGAGATGAAGCATTTATTAATTTATTATTTATTAACAGATCACAGTAGTGTCATTAAAAATGACCAAGTCCTGCCGAAACCGGTTTGGCTCAGTGAATAGAGCCTTGGCCTGCAGACTGAAAGGTCCCAAGTTCGATTCAGGTCAAGGGCATGTACCTTGGTTTCGGGCACATCCCCAGTAGGGGGTGTGCAAGAGGCAGCTGATCGATCTATCTCTCTCATCGATGTTTCTAACTTGCTATTCCTCCCCTTCCTCTCTTAAAAAATCAGTAATATATATGTAAAAAAATAAAAAAATAAATGACCAAGTCCCGTGAGATGACATGAAAAAAAAAATGCAGACAAATCTAGCTAGAACCTGGAATCAGAATGACCTCAGGGGAAGGAAGGCGGGAGCAACAAAGGTTCTGGATCACGTGGTTCAAGGGCTCTGGTGATTTCAGGCCTCCCCTGCAATGGGTGGAGTTTGAGCTGTGGTTGTGCCCCGCCCCCTCCAGCTTTCTCTCTGTCTTTCTGTTGCTAGTTCTCTCTCCCTCTCCCTCACCTTCACCCCCTCCACATAGAAAGAACAGGGTGGGGCTGGCTCGCCAGGCATTCCAGGATAATATTTAGTTTGGGGGCGATAGTGGTTGGTGATTCTGCCTAGTAGGGTGATTACAAGCACTGCCTTTTACAGGTAATTCAGCAAGAAAGAAGATGGGCATGCACTCAGGTCTGAATTTGCAACAAAAACTTCTAAATTATGTCAAGATGCTGTATTATAAAATGTATCTTTTGGCTCAGCAACCAATTCACCAAGTATCTCTGGAAAATACACGAGTTATCTCAAGTACATGATTTCATTAGTCAGAATGAGATTCTTTCATCTTTAAATGATGACAATATACTGGGTGGTGGTGGGGGGGAATGGTATAATAAGACTTACTTAATTTAAAAAGTAAATCAACTGCCATTTAATACTAAGGTGTTAACTCTATAGGAACACTAATGATGAGATGGGTGGGGTTGGGGGTGGTCTTTCAGACTACCACAACCTCTTCAATATACTACTGCAGATGAGAATGCAACAAATACTTGCTGAGCACCAAATTCACTGCTAGAGTGAGCCACTATTACTTACGGATAGGTCATCTCACCGAGGGCTATAAAAATAATGCTATTAAATAGTGTTTGGGGAAAACAGATCCTTAAATATATTTATCCCTCAAGATGTTTATATAAGGGTTCTAGAACAGACCACACTGAAACACTGGCATGTGAAACCTACATTATGCTGACAATGTAAAGCTCTTCGTATTGTTAATTTTACTTAATATTAAGCAGATGAGTGACAAAGTTTACACTATTATACACATGTTCATGGACTTCTAAAATGGAATGGGGGACGATACCTCTATAACAAAGAAATAAGGAAAAAGCATTCTACATTAATTTACTACAGTTGTGACAATGATGAAGTGAACTCTTTTATTAGTTGGAAAAATCCTATAAAATATGAAATTCTATAATAAACCTATAAGTATAAATCAGACATTCATAACAAGGACATGAGTAGTATGAAATACAAATGAAACTATTTCTGTAGCTCCCTTTGAACAATAAAATCATTGTTCCACAAATTTTGCTGTTGTTAAAGAATTAAAATGATCACAAATATGGGAAAAGGGTTAAATTCAGGCTTATCTCTAATTTAGTCTGTATCCATTGCTAAACTTTGGTGATATGCAAAAGGAAAAAAAGGACTCAGAAACAGCCTCTAGGAAAATTGGAAAATATATATTCTTTTACTAGCCTTACAAATTAAAGACCCGAAAGTGAATGGTCATCGTGACTGACAGGCAGCATACAGTGATATAATACTTGAACTTATTTTCTAAGACTCCTAACCAACTATCTTTATGGTCAAAATAACAAAAGTAGCCGAAACCGGTTTGGCTCAGTGGATAGAGCATTGGCCTGCGGACTGAAAGGTCCCGGGTTCGATTCCGGTCAAGGGCATGTACCTTGGTTGTGGGCACATCCCCAATAGGAGGTGTGCAAGAGGCAGCTGATCGATGTTTCTAACTCTCTATCCCTCTCTCTTCCTCTCAGTAAAAAAAAAAATCAATAAAAAAATAATAAAAGTATTTTGTCATCATGCTTAATTATAATGCAGGATCACGCCTTGAAGGTGCACTATTCAAATGTTTACTTACAAAGGCTCTCCTTCCACAAAGGCATGGAGGGAGTTCCCCATCTGCTTTTATTTTCAAGGTGAACCAGACACAACCCCCAGGCTAACAGAACCTAAGAAATCCAATCTGCTGCTATCTTCCTTCCCCACATGGATTAAAACCTGCGCTTAAAAATGAAATAAACTGTACTACTGTGTTTTAATAAATTCTAGGAGTCATCTATGTAAAATAAAAAGGCACCCCCAAAGCCTTCTTCTTGGGGATCCCCGGAAGTAGTATTTCACACAGGATGGAATACAGCCACCGAGTAGCTGCCAGCGAGGAGGAGGGGAGAAGGAAGAAGAGGGAGGGAAGAAGGCTGGGAGGGAAGGAGTGAAAGAAAAGGACATGCTTGCTGTTTGTTTCTCTTTTTGAGGAAGCAAGGGGAGGTCAATTCACCGTGTCCCATTCTTCATCAGCCAACCAAGCCTTTCCTTGGATTAGCTGGCTATGACAGAAAAGTGCAAGAAAAGCTGTGTGCCCCCACAAGATCAGAACTTCCAGGTGCTAATACATAGTTTTCAACATGCTAATCATTGGAGGGGGTCCTAATTTGGTTTTTAAATGTATGCTACTTGTTTAACTACAAAACACTAGATAAACAATAATAAAATTTAGAAATACACACCTGCCGGCTGGCATCCTTAGGCCCTAACTGAAGAGCCCAGGCGGAGATAACATTAAATCCTTTGACGACCAGTGAGTCCGGGAATAGGGAAGCCAAGTACTCAGCATTGGACTCTGGGTATTGGTTTATCCTCATGTTATTGCTCACATCAATCAGGATTTTACCGACGAGCAGATGTCTCAGGTCCCACAGGGAGGTGTAATGTTCTCTATGTATAGCCACAAATATGATGTTTGTTTTGGTTAGCACATCTTCATGGTGAGTGACATCTACCACGTGAGGAAAAAATTCAGAAGCGAATTTAGGATTCCTACTTCCTATGACCACATGATAGCCACATCTAATAAGCCGAATGGTCAGGGATTTGGCAAAATCCCCACTTCCAATGACACCTACAGTGACCTTCCTTGCATCTTTGATGCTATTTATGCCATTCGGCAGAAAAGTATCACTAAGGCTCTTAGGGCTTCCCATCATCGAGATGGATTCCATGGCGCACACTCTTCCAAGATCACTAGGGATATCCTAGGGGAGAGAAAACAAAATGTCCATCAGTTACCTCTTACCAAAGGTGAATACACCTTTATAGACATTATAAAACGGCCCTCGTTTGCAGACATAAAATATTTCAGCAAGCAATAAATTTAAGGCACAAGTAAGTCACAATTTGCGAGCTAAAAAGGGATCTGAGCATGGAAAAATGAGCTGTCACAGCGCTGACGTGCTAACGTGGGGCTGCTCAGATCTCAATGTGCACATGAATCACCTGAGAATCTGGTTAAAACGCTGGCTCTGACTCAGCAGCTCCGGAGTGAGGCCCAAGCGTCTGCATTTCTAGTCCGGTGAGCTGTTGCCGCTGCCTGCAGACCCCTCTTTGAGCAACAGGGCACTAGGGAACAAAAGGAAGAGATGGTATCTTCATCTAGACCGTTTTTAAAAACACAGTTCTAACCTGATTACCCAGTTTCCGGCAGATCAGAGGCAGCAGATCAGAAAAGCTGCTAGTGGTAGAAAGGACTACGATTGGACGTTATAGCACACAGGACAACAGAAGACAGAAAAAGCACGGAAAACAAAGGGCCCTGGCCAGGTAGCTCAGCTGAGGAGAGTGTCCTTCTGATACTCCCAGGCTGTGGGTTCCATCTCTGGTCAGGACACACACGAGAATCAAGCAATGGATGCAAACATAAGCGGGATAACAAATACATGTCTCTCTCTCCCCCCGTTCCTCTCTTTCTCTAAAATTGATCAATAAATTTAAGAAAATCTTTAAATCTGAACTCTCAAGGGTCATTTGGCATGGTCTATCAACTATCCTATACACCTGACTCTTAGTAAATGAGAATAAGACAAATCAACTACTAAAGAATGCACTACTAATGAACCTTGGCATTTATATAATACCTTAAGAAAAACAGGCATTAAAATATAATAAAGAATTAAATATAATTGGCTTCTATCATTCACCCTATATCCTCCAACTCATCATTGAGCAAGTTAGCTTCTCAATGATATTAGCAATGTGTTTATGGGCTTAAATTAGATAATACTTGTGAAATCTTTTCTTCTTTTATTCATTGGTAGAATACAACATAATTAGCCTTTCTGGGGAAATTTGTCAAATTCTTTAAGTGACTAACATCTGAAATATTCGAAGTAACTTTCTCCAGAATAATAATCAGCATGCCATAAGTCAGTGTCACTAAAGGGAATGAATGAAAAATACTCTTCCTTTCTCTCCTCATTGCACAATTTCTTTTATGCTAAAAGCAGATGTGGATCATTTCAGAGAATTTAATGGATTTTACAGGAAAGATGGAATGTTTCAAAAACGTGTTTTGGGGTTTTGTACTAAATGAAATTTGAAATTACTGGGGCTAAAAATATTTAACTTTTTATCCTGGAAATAGATCACATAAAATGACTAAAAAAACCCCAGTAAATTAATCTTTATGCTTTTTAAATATATTTTTAAATTTTTGTATAGAAAGGAATGGAGAGGGAGAGAGAGTTAGAAACAATGAGAAACATCGATCAGCTGCCTCCTATACATCCACCCCCCCGACTGGGGATGTGCCCGCAACTAAGGTACATGCCCTTGACCGGAATCAAATCTGGGGCCCTTGAATCCGCAGGCCAATGCTCTATCCACTGAGCCAAACTAATTAGGGCAAATTAATCTTTAGGAAGAAAAAACAATACAACCTAATACTCATTATAGCACATTCTCTGTCAGGTTTGTTGTGCTTTATAGATTAACTGATTGAATTCCCACAATCACCACAGGATGCCCTTCATTTTAAAGATGAAGAAATTAAGACAAAGAATAATTTATTTGTTCAAGGTCGTAAGAGACAAAGTAAGGGAACTAGGATTAGAATCCGTGTGCATGCAGTTCAGCTAAGGCAGTGGTCAGCAAACTCATTAATCAACAGAGCCAAATATCAACAATACAACAATTGAAATTTCTTTTGAGAGCTAATTTTTTTTTAAACTTAAACTTCTTCTAATGCCACTTCTTCAAAATAGACTTGCCCAGGCTGTGATATTTTGTGGAAGAGCCACACTCAAGGGGCCAAAGAGCTGCATGTGGCTCGCAAGCTGCAGTTTGCCAACCATGGAGCTAAGGCATGTGTCATTTGGGCAAATGTAAGGAATTTAAGAAAGGGCTTTTGGGGGGGGGGGCATGAGGGAAAAGGGGAAGAGGTGTGCTCATCCTATATAATAAAACCCTAATATGCAAACCGATGGAACAGCGGAATGACTGGTGGAACGAGCAGTCACTATGATGCGCACTGACCACCAGGGGGCAGACGCTCAATGCAGAAGCGCTTCCTCAGCCAGAAGCCAAGCTCACAGCTCATGTAAAAAACTGTAAGTGGACAGTTAAGGAGCAGGGGTCCCGACTGTGAGAGCCCCATACTGCAAGAGGGATATATGAGGAAGATTGGGCCTAAGCTGGCAGGCAGACATCTCCTAAGGGATCCCAGACTGTGAGAGGGAGCAGACTGGGCTGAGGGATTCTCCTCCCGACCTATTGCATGAACTCTGTGCACCTGGCCTCTTCTATTAGTACAGTTTTCTTTGGCCATATCATTACTCCTCAGCATTACCTAGTTTTCTTAATGACTAACTCAGATCCTGGGAAAGGAGAAAACTCACTATTTTTAATCTATTACAGATGCTTCACTTCACACTTTTCAAGTGAGAAGGGATGGTAATTAGCTGCTTTCCATGGAGTGATTTCCCAGAAGGCCAAGAGGGGGTCAGATGGGCCAGGGTAGTACAAAAACATCACCATCCTCTTGGAGAAGTGGTGGGTTATCTTCACTATTCAGGAGCACTTAAAGAACCAGAAGTAATTTAAATATATTTTATTGATATTTTACAGAGAGGAGGAAGGGAGAGAGATAGAGAGCTAGAAACGTCGATGAGAGAGAAACATCGACCAGCTGCCTCTTGCACACCCCTTACTGGGGATGTGCCCACAACCACTGTACATGCCCTTGACTAGAATCGAACCTGGGACCTTTCAGTCCGCAAACCGACACTCTACCATTGAGCCAAACCAGTTTTGGCATGAACCAGAAGTAATTTAATGAATGATCATTTCATTCAAGTTGAATTGACCAACTTAACCCTAGTCCTATATAACGTCTAAGGTTAAAAGGAACCCAAGTGTCATACACCCTTGTCCTAAGTTCTTCTGAGTAGAGATTGTTGCATCTCCCAAAATATAAGAATTGCAAAATCTTGAAATCTATCATGATGATCAAGGTCTTTTCAAACTAAAAGCAAAACAGTATCAGCTATCTGTTAATTTTATAAAGCAAATTCAAACCCCTTCCGTAAATCAGAATGTGAACAGATAAAAACTCATTGGGACCTAATGGGCCTCCCATTATAACATGTATTTTTATACGTATTTACAGGCAACTGTTCTAACATGTTTGACCCTTATTCACATTATATTTCTAATGGCAAGTTCTAACTGAACCCTTTAATGGTGTGACTGTAACTATAAATAAAAGTTGGCCTGATAAATGAGACTCTTTGTTATAGTTTCAAGGAATGTAAAAGTATCTATGAGAAAGAGAAAAATAATAAAACTTGTAAAGGATTTGAGAGATGGGTTATTTGTGTATTATTGAAAGCTTACAGTACTAAAATATGTGTGATATTTAAGAGTGCACAAGGTTTTCATATATAACATTATCTCACTGAATTCTCAAATGCCTGTGGAGTACATATTATGCCCATCTTAAAGATGGGGAAACACCCAGAATTTTAATGATTTGCTTAAGTCAATGAAGTTCGTAGTGATCCAACCAGGATTTAAATGAGTGTTCCAGCTCATTCTAAAACTGCAGGACAAACATTTTAGGGGAAATCTTTAAGTTGTTTAGATCTTCAAATGTCGCCTGTAACTATATTCTCTAAAATCAATACTAACCTTAAATAGTTACAATGTGAATCTCAGCTTAGAATAGTTTTAGATAAATCCAGAGCTATAAGTTTAAGAATCCTAGCTACCAAACAGATAAAGTACTGAAATAATTCAATTTTTTTTTTTATCAAAACCAAACAAAGAATTAAATTTATTAATACTACAAAACAAAACATGAATGGTTGCTGGGCAACTTTTGAAGAAACCCAGATAGCAACCCGTTTGTCTTCTGAGGACTCCAGAGAGCGCCTGCTTTTTAGAGGGAAGAAAGATGAAAGGGCCAAGAAGAGGCCGGTGTCCCGTGAACGCATCCATGTACAGGCCTAGCAGCAGCTCATTCCCACAAACTATGGGTAACTATCTGGTGCGGACACACTGGGAACAGATCTCATCAATCAACTGTTAATTTGCTAGGCTACCATTTGGATCACTAGGTTAACCGCTGAGCTGAAGTTAATTAAAACTGTAACATCTGCAAAAAAATAAAAAATAAAATAAAAAAATAAATGGGGTTATAAAAAAATGAATAATGTCAATATCTGAAGGAGGTTTACCTTGTATTTATATAAAAAAAAAAGTTACTAAAAATCTTACATTGTACATCTCCAACACTGACAAGAAATGATGGGACTGTAAATGGCAAGACAGACCTACACTGCCGTGTGACCAGCAGGAATTTAGGAGGCCACTGTGTTCTTTGCGTAGGAGAGATAAAGGACAAAAGAAGCATGGTGCTGACACTCAAGGATTTACGTTCTAGTTAGGAAAACACAAGCTGTACGTAGAATTAAAAGCAGAAAAAAAAACCCTCACATCATCATACCGTTAAGAACCAGCTTATCTGATAAGAGCGTATTTGCTATAGAAAATCAGGGAACAGAAATACCTCATGGTGTCCCCTTATTTCAAGTCATTCATCTATATAAAATTATACTTACAAAATCATCTCTAACTTACACAGGACTGGCCCTGACTGGGTAGCTCAGTTGGTTAGAGCATCGTCTCGATACCTACCCCAAGGTTGCAGGTTTGATCCCTAGTCAAG